ATTTTGTACGTTTGTTGTTATGAATGAGAAAATCAAGAAAGAATCCAATTTCTATTTTTCATTCATAATCTGAATATCAGGAGCTGACCCAAAGTTTCTAGCAATTCTTCAGTCATGTATAAAGCACAAAAACCACTTTTCTATGATTCTCATTTCCTATCCTGCAAAATATATAGCTTGATAGGAAACCATGTTAGTTTTAACAAGCTCTGGAAAAGGAAACTTAGCTGTGAGACAGAGTTCGTAAACAAAGCACTATGTTTTGTAAAAGATTGCTCCTTTGCTAAATACAGTCAATTTGACAATATTTCGTGAAAACTTGAACCAAAGCAATGTCAAAAATGGGTCGTCTGTGCGAATGGAGCTATCTTGCCACAGAAAGTTGCTAAGAATGCCATTCACTTCAACAAATAACAAATAAGGAACTACTTTGAAAAAAGCCAGAGTGCAACGACTTGTTTTTATGCTCCAGATCAGGAAAATCAAATATCTGGTAGATAGAAAAGAAACGAAAGCTTGCAATGATCGCTTCTAAATGGTAGGATAAATGGCCGAAAAAGGTAGGAAGACCGAAAGCCTCATGGTTCATGTATGTCTTTGAATGGATTGCATGGGCCTAAAATTGATCACAACTTCCAGAGCAGCATTGAATAGATCAAGATGGAGGACGACTGCGTCCGATCCGGTAACGCATTGAGCTAGACTATGCTGCATCATTTTAGAAGGATATATTCAAAAGATGTCAGTAAAAGATCAAAATAGAATTTCTTCAATCAAACGTGAGTGGTAAAAGTCAAATATACCAATTAACGTTGAGAAGAGACAATGCGAATCCAGAAGTCGAAGAAAAAATCATGAAAGGTCCAACCGGTTTTTTTGGCGACGGCCTGTTCTTCAGAACCATTGAATGCAAAGAGCTAATATTTAGGGCTGAGAAAGGGAAAAAACGAATAACAAGGACATTTAAAGTGTGATTAGTGTGCAAGTGTCGATTTTGATAATTACTGTGATAATGATCATGGATAAAACTTTATTCCTTATTAAAGTTATGTTGACTTTTTTATCTTGATCATGATTACTACCAGCGTGAGTACACTTACATAACATCAAGTAAGCTATTCTTCAATACCACTCGGCCTTTCAACTAATATATCTTTTCTTAGACTAGATTATATATTCACATATCTATAGAACTTACCCAATACAAAGGTGCTTGAAGCATTTGAGCAACTTGGAGACTTGGCGTCGATCACATAAATACAGGCCTGTAGTAATAACTTGCCCAGATTATGCTGCATGTCTGTTTCATAACTCATGCTATAGTTATACCATATATAAAAATTTTGTTGCTCAAAACACTGACAATTACCCAACGAACGAATCGCGCTTAACCACAAACCAATATTTGTAATCTAAACTGAAGCAACAAACACAACATGAAAAACCTATAAATTAGAGGTAGGTTCAGCCAGTATGCAAACAGCAACCTTCCTTGCAACATCAAAAACAGAGCTTAAACAATACTGCGACAAAATGGGCGTTAAAATGCTTTCAGCAATCGTACTTTTTGCTCTAGCTACACATATGTCTGCTGCACAGAACAGTGTGTACAATGCTTTCAACAATCAGCTGTCGTTTCGAAGAAGTATTGGCAGGCAATTGATCGATGTAAAGCAAGTGAAGTACTGCAGTTCGTACAGCGATTGTGGTGTCTCAGAATGCTGCACTCCGCTTAATGGTGACTCTGAAACATCAATTGGTGTTTGTCGCAAAATGCCTAAAGTAAACGAAGAATGTGGACTTTCAGTGTCCCAACTTAGTTGTCCTTGTGTACAGGGCACAACATGCTCGATGTCTTCTGGGACTAGACCTTCTCGTCATCATGGTCGTAGGGTCGCATTTACTTGCCAAAAGATCACCTCTGAGCCAAGAGAAATCGACGAATTTTGGTGAAGCATTCAAGAAAACAAATAATTCCTGGATACCGACGACATTTCACATTGCTTGTGTAGCTGCGAATTACAAACGACACATACATAGACACAGTTTTATATCCACTTCTCAACTTTGTTTTAAAATACAACATTTTAAATAACTTTTACATTTTATATTCCGTATCATTTTTACATTAGAAAATGTTTAATTTTGTACTTTAGAGGTTATGAATGAATTAATGAAGAAAAAATTCACGGTTTTTTTCTTTTCGTCAGCTGAATATCGTGGGTTGACTCAAAGTTTGTAACAATTCTTCAATCATATAGCACTGATAGCAGTTTTGTATGCCTCTCATTTTCTATTCTTCAAAATTGTGATTGGTAAAGATGATGATAATCACAAGTATCACTAAGAACATGATTATAATTACATTTGTTTATTGAGTAATCATTAAGGGCAATGATTATCAATTTTGTATATATATTCTTAGTGATTTGCATGCCAGAGTTCGTATGCCAGGTATTTAGGCTTAAAAGAGATTGCTCCATTGCTAAAAATGGAGAAGATTTACTTACAGGGGCTGATATATAGGTGTTGGCGAGCTTTAAAATATTTGGAAGTAGCATCTGGAAGTAAACAAATCGTGCTGAATGTAAGTGACCAGCTAGATTTTTCAACTTTTGGCTAACCCGCGAAAGGTTCCATCGTTCTGCCTAGAGGCAAGAAGGGCAGTGGTAACCTGGGCCACAGAGCAGGAAGTTTTTGCAGCTATGCCCTCAAGATTAGCTCAAAATACACTTCAGAATATTGCTTGCAGCCATTTTCTTGCAATAGTTTAAAACGTTTTTAGGCATACTGTTGTCATGTTTGATTAATTTCGTTCTTAAAATGGAATATATTACTTTATGAGGCCCCTTTCTACCTGGAACTCTAAGGCAATTTTGCCTCGTGAAAACGTAAATGCACCTGTGTCGAAAGGGTAAAACCTTTTTCAACCTTTCCTTGATTGTCAGGTTAAACTTCGATGCAAGTGTTCCTGGCCCAATATCTCCGCAAAATCCATTGTAGACAGAGACGGGCAGAGGAAAGGGGTCCTGACAAGGTATTAGTGAATAATCTTTTTGTTTAATAACAAATGAAAAGGGGGGAAGGAGCGTTCTCTGTGCTTTTCCTAAGGCAAAAATTTTTTCTTCAGGTAGCAAAGGGCACGTTCTTAAATTGTGAGGGCACTTTCTTAACATCTGTTAAAATTTGAGAGGCACGTGCCCCGCTCTCTATGTCACTGTAGGACTGTACTTGTTGGAAATAAACCAAGCTAAAAATTGTAGTTCCCAAAGACGGGATCGCTTTTGGAGAACTATGGAGGCTATATCCTCCTCAATTTCTGCCAAGATCGTTATTCTAATTCAGAGATTGCACCACAAAATCAAAGACGGCGGGTGGGTGGGGGGGGGGGTTACGTTTGTACCGCACGCATTTTAGTATATTATGAAGACCAAACATAGTTAGGGACGACGCAGATGAAATGAAGTACGCATGAGTCTCAGAGACTCGAAAGTTTTCTCACAGATGGAAATTTTTGGAATTATTCCTTATAGAATGGTTAAAGAATATCTCCGGGGCAAAATTTTAAAAAAAATGTTATACCGCTCAGGATAGACAATTCGACATTTCTCAGAAAAATCACTGATTTAGGAGGGGCGAGTCATATTTGGAAAATCTGAGGAACGTGTCATGCTTAAACTCTAGTGACAGATGTTGGGGAAAGAAAGAAAGGGTGTCCTTTTGGTTCAGGGTGCATATCGATGTCAATAACAAGTAGCTGCATCTTCATTGTCTCGAGAAGGCCATTTTTGCAATGATACAGAAAGTGATTTACTGAATTAAAGCAAATAATAAAAATTTATCTAAATAAATTAGTGAATAATTTTAATAAAATCAATCACTGTATAAACAGCTCGTCTCTTTTTCTTTGATCCTCTGTTTTGAAAAATAATAGAAAAAATGGTGAACAGTTTTTATCTTGAAAAAAGGGGGTAAGGAAGAGGGCTTTAGAGAAAGCAAGGTGGCTTCGGAATTTCCATTGCTGGCACGACATACAGACCCGAAGTTGAATATTGTGGTTCTCCAGCCCACAATGTTTTAGCCTTTTGTATTAGAAATTGATTTCTAAAAACGAGTCCGAGATTTCCCAATCTGAGTATTTTGAAAATATTCCTCAATGAAGTTTATGGGGATGGTGAGAGGAAAAGTTGGTGGGCTGTATGGTGGGACTTGTAGGTGGGACCAGATTAATGGACTCGTTGGTGGGACTGGATAGTGTGGGACTGGATGGTGGGACTTGTAGGTGTGACAGGTGAATGGGACTGGTAGGTATTACTTTTTGCTGAGACTGAGGGATATGACGAAAGGGTGGGACAAGTGGACGAACCATTCATTTCATTTCATTCATTTTTAAAATGTTCATACCCCCTCCCCCAATATTTCTGTGTTCTTCAGTAAATTTCGCTTCCATTCGATAAAAATGATATTTTGGTAGCCAGTAGAAACAAAATAACGCCAAGATTTTACTTAATTGATCTCCTTATCTTCTTTACCTTGAATTAAAAACCTTGAATTGAATTAAAATCTTGAAAAAGGGCGTGTCAACCATTTTACAGTGACCTGAAGGGTGTGACACCAAATCCAATTAGTGTCTGACACCCCCAAATCATTGCTGCTTAAATCCGTCCCTGATACAGGTTGATAAATTTCAGAATAATTTTCATCTGGTTGTCACCAGTGAATTGACTGATGGGTAGTTGGGCGTTACTGAAATAGGCCGAAATACTGATGGATATGATTCGTGGGCGGTGGCTTGTGGACTGCTGGGACATCGCCCTATTTTGGTAAATATTTGTAAAAATTAGGTTCCCCCCTACCTGTGACAGTGAAACAATTTTTTATGATAATGAAAAACTTTACCTTGATCTTGCCATGTCTGCTTCGTTCTTTTGTTTACGAGCTCCTTCTCAACTTTATCTTTGAAGCATGCGCATGTTTTGAAGTGAGCAGTTTGTTATTGCCGCCATTTCATTTGGCAACAACAACTACAGTTTTTTAGCAGTTCTCAGCGGCAAGATGGCGGAGGATAGTCGAAGCCGCTCAATTGGCCAATATCCACCTCTTCCTTCTGTCCTGACACAAAATTCGTCCGCAACACAAGGAGCTGCATCATCTGGTAACTTCTAAATTTTATTTTTTATCAGGGCGCTCGACAGTAATATTTTTTCACGACGATTTCTTTCACTCATCACAAATGACTTCACTTCACTTTGTAGACTGTAGCTCTTTGTTAATCAGCATTCGAACACTTTTTAAGTAAAAGACCATGTGGATTTTAGCAAAATCAACCGCGTTAGTTCTTAAAATAGCTGTGCACTGAGGTGCTCTTCTGCCTAGGCGAGATACTTATTGTGAACATATTGTTTAATTTTTGTAAACAAAAGAATTAGAAAATGGCTTGTTTTGTGTTTAGCAATGGCATCCTCGGCTGACAGTGGCGACATCAAACCAGTTTTAAGTTACGATGCCGATGGCAAAAGTAGTGAAGAAACTCAAGGCATGGCTGGACACAATTTGACAGAGTTTCTTAGCCAGTTGGAAGATTATACTCCCACGGTATGTCAAAGATTCTTCTGTATTTCCTACCCTATATACTATGAAGACATTGAACAGCATCAGAAACTCATTATTATGCCAATTTTTGGAATCATAGGCACAATAGGTTGTTATGCATCCAACATTAGCATAACTATTAAGCATCCAGTATGCAGAATATGACAATGGGACACCCATGATTGGTAGCGCTAGGGTTACACCTGATAATCTAATAGATACATTGGATTTTAGACTGGGAAAGTTTATAATGCTGGTGCATTTGACATTTTCTTATGATTTTTGCACACCTGTGCCCGATGTGGGGGCTGTTGTTGCAGCCAAGATCTTTTCAAGATTTTGGTCAAGAAAGTTTGTAATTATTTCTATTTGGCCAAAAAACACCTAGAACAACAAGTGACAGAGAACCTACAGAGTATGTTTGCTTAAACATGTTTTCCCCTATGCCAATGACTCGGTCAGGTTAATTACTAGTGACTACCTTTGGTTGAAGCACATTATTGACTGAATTGTGTCTTGAGACATAGACCATGGTCTTGACATGGTCAGACATAGTTACATGGAAAATGATAGAAAGTACAAAAAATTGTTCTTTTTTCTTATATTTTTTATTTAGGATAAATTCATATTTCCCAAGAACAAACAAATTAAAATAATTGCAGGCAAAAACTTATTTCATTGCTCAACCATGGTCACTAACCATGGTCAGGACTTGTCACCCATCATGGCACAACCTTGGTATGACCATTGTAAACTATGGTTGGGCCATGAACCATGGTTGAGTTTTTGCAGGGGTTAGCAATAACAATGGTATTTATTTCAATGTCCAACAGATTCCAGATGCAGTGACGGTGCATTATCTACAGAGATCAGGATTCGAGGCCACTGACCCAAGGATGTAAGTTCCTTTTAAAAATAACTTTTCTTCAATTTTTTTAATAGCGCTTTGTACACAGGCCTTGCCTAAAAGGCACTTGATCAAGTGGAGCACCTAAAATGCATCTTAAAATTCTAGTGGAGAGTATTTTATTGAGCACCTGAAAATGTAAAAATATTGCTATCAGGCAAATTATGTTTGAAATAATGTTGATCAAACTAATTTTCTTCTCAAATTTACAATATTATGATTAATAAGATTTTTAAAAGAGTTAATACGTTTTATATAGTTTTTGTGTCTGGTTGCTGTAAAAGCTACATCTACCAGAATCGGTTTTCAAATGAAAATGTTATTTCGCATTACTACATATAACTTACTGTCTACATCACAAGACATCTATTTTCCCAACGTATAGTAAATCAATGGAATGACCTACCTAACAATTCTAAGAATTTGATATCTGTGATTTCTTTCAAGAATGCATACGACAAACACTTGAACTTACCATATTTCAACACATCCTTCTCAAAAACATTTTGCACAACATATATAAAATTATATTTTTACTAATAATTGCTCTATATATTATATTTAGACAGGAGGGTAATGCCTTTGAGAGTGGACTCATTTGAAAATGCAATTATATTTGAAAACATATCATTTCCATGTAAAACGAAAATGTTTGATTTGTTTTCGCTGAGATAAAAAAACACTTTTGGAAATGTGTTGACATGGGCTATCACCTGTTCATATGATACAGACTACAAAAAAATAAGACATACTAGTTTTGACCTGTGTGATGTGAATAGTTTGTTTTTTATTTTTCCAAAAGGTGGAATTTTTAATTCTCTGTTAAGTTTCTCACAGCTTTCACAATCATATTAGCATAGAAATTATAAATTTGTGACATAAAATTTATAAGATGGAAATTTTTTCTTTATCATCACCCAGAGTGTGCTTTTTCTTACTTGTTTAGCGTTCGATTGGCATCTTTAGCAGCACAGAAGTTTGTATCAGACATTGCACATGATGCTTTACAGCACTGCAAAATGCGTGGGTCTGGACAAAACTCAAGAAAATCAGGAAAGGTATACACTTGCCATCACTGCTTAAAATACTTTGCTGATAATAGAGTTTAGGTAAATGTTTTCAGTAAAAAAAAATTAGCTTAGTAGTTCCATTCTCCATGCAGGCAAAAGTCGGTATAAAATATCTTGTAATATATGAGTGACGAAGAATCAAAGGGGTATCCAATAAGTTTAGAAACTGTGAAATTAACTCCCTACAGTTAATTGGTGAATCAATATTGGTCATGATTCAAAATCCCAGGCAATATGGTCACAATAAAATGCCACAAACAATAATGTAACGATTTAATATCTGTAGCAATACCACAAATCCTCGAATTAGCCCCCTAGGGGCTTATTTATTTTTGATATTTTTGGATGGGGGTTTAATCAAGGGGGGCTTAAACAAGAGGGGCTTATATGAGGGAGGGGGGGGCTTATAAAATTATTGTAGACAATAAGAAGACATTATTAAAAGACCTTGCTTATTTAAGTAGGAATTTCTTTATAAGCATTTAATTAATTATTACCAGAAGTATGAATTTGTTGTGGCAATTCAATAAAACGCCATAAGCAACCTCAGATGGCAAAAACCTTCAAATTGAGGGGCCCAATTCAAGAATATACAGTAGCAGTGGGGGCTTATTTGAGGGGGGGGGCTTATTGACAATGTGTAGTTCCAGGGTGGGGGCTTATTCTAGCAGGGGGTTTTTTCAAGGGGGGCCAATTCGAGGATTTATGGTAGTCCAATAAACATTGCCACTAGTTCCAATGAATTCTTTTTTCAGGACAAAAGGTACACACTAACAATGGAAGATCTGATACCTGCACTTGCTGAGTATGGAATAAATGTTAAGAAACCACCATACTTTTACTGATATTAAAGGATTTGTGTCACAAAAGAACATTGTTTTTCCAATGAGCTATCAAATTCCTTTGACAGGTGTAACTGGCCTACATTAATCCCTTTGACAAATGCAAATATTGTTGTGTTGTGTTGTGGATATGGGGAAGTGTCTTTATATCAATTAACATTTTATCAAGAACCTGCATCCTAGTGGATGAGTGTCCAACTTAATAAAGTACATTTGGAATAAATTGTGTTATGAATTGTCTTTATTAGAAAGTTGGATCATTATGTATGTGCAGACATTAATCTGTAGATTTAGTTCAAACATATTTAGTTTGTTTTATTTATATGCTGACAAATGCTTACTTAAGGTAAAGAGGTATAGCAAAAACTCCCATAAACACTTTTGGATTATTTTGTCCTGCCAGCTTTACAAAACGTTTTGGCTATTTTCCAATATATACTAGGTTCCATTACTTTATATTCTGTATCAGTTATAGCAAGTATACTAAATGCTACTATGTACATGATAGATTGAGTATTAATGAAAAGTATACAAGATGCTTGGAAAATCTTTTAATTTCATTTTTTGTTTACTTTGAGACACTTTTTAAATTGACACAACTCCATTAAGAAAAATATCGTTATTTTTTTAAATTTAAACAATAAATATAGATTCAAAAGGTAACTTTTTTGAGTCCCAGTTACAATATGGAAATGAAAGAGATGAATTACAGTTGAAAAATTAAAATAAACACATGACAAATGCGAAAAATGACCCATGATTGCATGGTCATTGAGAATAGTAACATACTATTTAAAAGTTTAAAAGTAAATATTTATTCAAATAATGCATTTTTATTCCTCTTTTAATTGAAAAGTTTAAGGCCAAGTCGTAAAACAAAGAAAGCCATAAATTTTCTCCAATTTAAATATCTTATCAGAATGTTAGGAGTGTAAAAATTTGTGTTAAGTTACTGTCTTATAACACGAGGTTTGCAAAACATTAATTAATACCAATCCTCAGTTCTCTAAGATGACAATGTTATGCAACTCAGAAAGTCTGTATAATGCATCTTAGGAAATTGTATTTATTTAAATTTTGATTTGATGAAATAGATAGTTACAAGGTGCAATCAAAGCACAAATCAATGGAACAGGAACTTAAAAATTGAGTTGTCAACAGTTATTTCAAGTTTATACTTGCATTTTATTAAACAAGTTGTGTTTAAAAATAACCTCTCAAATTCAGCACTGCTATAAACTTCTTGAATTTTCATAAAATTTTATACTGAAGCACTCTCAAGTTTTAAAGAAAAGCTGAACAAATCTCATATTACATTTATCCTACTAAGCACAAAATTTTATAAAATTTTAAAATATCCTAAAGGCATATAAATATTGCAATTGCCATGAATGTACACCAATTATTTCACTTAATATAGATATACACAGATGTAATAGAAGGGGTAATAAGGATTATATAATGCATTATAACTGGGGACAGCATCGTATAAGGTATGGAAATACCATGTTGACAGTTCCATGACAAAAACCTCAAAGCATGCGCATGCTTTTTTTAATATTTGCTATTGCCCAAATGTTATTCAAAACAAGAGTTTTAGGCCAAGCTATTTTATTCACTTTTAAAAACCATTTGAACTTTGCTAAAAAATAAGCTTTCAGAATTCAACAACAAATACTTGCTGTGTCAAAAATTTAAGATTAGATTAAATTCTATGTTCGCTCATTTTTTTCATTTAAAACAGTCAGCTGTTTCTCTGCATATAAACTCTTCATATAATTGATTTTATCAGTAACCTAGAAGCAAAAAACAAGAATGTCACTCCTTGCTAGTATTAAAATTTGAAGCATTTTTTGTCATGCCATGAACATTAATAACAAATGTTGCCAAAAGATAAAATTCTTCACTCCAAAGAAACAATTACTTTTTTGTGAATAATTAACAAAAGAAGTGGACTTACTGAAGATTTCATTTTTGGTGGTCAAATAAAAAGTTTCTGACAAAATAATACTTCAATAAACAATAACTTTCTGTAAATTTAAGGTATCCACATGCGCTTATGGTCATGTGATGTATGCCCTTGGCACATTTGTTGTTTTCTGGGTTAATAGGGTCTCCCCTGAACCATTCTGTTTCTAAGGGTAGTGTCTGATAATTACAACATGGGGTTTCCTCATTCCCTTGACAAATTTTCTACAGAGTAACGCTTAGCTGTTTCTATCTTGAATATTTTTAAAGCAATAGCCAAGGTGTTGAAATATTCGCACAGTCATGAATTGAGAAGCTAACAAAGAGTAATTACCTTCTCTGCAATATGCTTTGAATCACAGCGTACCCTTGGTCTTTTATCAGGATTGCGGCTTGGTAAAAACTCCCCATTACTTTCTCTACGCATTATCAACTCAACAAACATTTCAGGACCTGCAACAAAAATAAACTAAAATCGTCACATCTGATTAGATTAGAAAAAATAAGTCTGATTTATAATAAGTTTTAACATCCCTTCACATGAGAAAAGTCAGCTTGCTGTGAGTTTCACTCTCTGGGTTGAGATTTGATTTGTGTTGAAAATTTGGTTTTCATTCATATGAGATTCCAAATGAAGAGTAAGATTCTGCTTTGTTGATTATCAGTTCAAAAAATTTTATACCTCCTATTTTATTCAATATGAATACATCAACTTTTCCCGGGTTGAGAAAATTTGCCATTTGGAGAATTTTCCCAAGAAAAAAATTACAACCCAGGTTCTAATGAGTGTGAGGTTAATTTGCCTACTGGGCACGTAATAGACAGAGGATTCAACTTTCCAAATAATTGCAAAGTGGGTGAAGGGCTAGCAGTCCCTTTAAGTAAGAAGCATGAGGACTTTATCTTAACAAGATGCTTTTTTTAAATTGAGGAAAACGTGTATACAGTATAACATTGTAACAAAAACATTCAGTTCTTAATAATGTCCCAACTCTTTCTGTTCTCAATGCATTTCTTTAACCTGTGACTTGCTTTAGTGTTTACCATGCAGTTATTTTATACATGTGGCCTGAATACAATAAATGGGGGTTCTGGAATAAGTATGTTATGGGTGGACTTTTTTCAAAAAAATTAATAATCGGTTTGCGGGGTACCTTTACCCTGGCCTCAAGATTAAGGTTTAAAATTGCCCATTTCAATGAAAACAAATAATTTCCTAGCGATTGGCATGAAATTCAACCAAGTGCGAAACTTAAAACAGAGCCTCTTTTTTCATATGTGAAGGGCCCACTACATTTAAATAACATCCATAAACACCTGTGAAGTAGAACCTCTAGCCCTAGCAACAATTACAAATTGAGAAAGGATTTCTTTGTTTTGGCAGAAAATATCGGCATTCTACTGGAGCAAATTGTTGCATGCTGTCTGACTGAACAACAAAAAAGTTTTAAAGCCAAAACAACTTAAATGAAAATAACAGCAGAAATTTATTTCTTTGTCAAGTACAAGTATTGTATAAAACGTATCAAAAGTTAGCCTAAGCAAGAAAAAATATTGACAGAAATTTATTCTGCTTGTATTAGGATAACCTTTCGTTAAAAGACATGCTTACTTCCTTTCTCTATCTTGGGCTGCGCAGTGAACAATTCAGAGAATTCTAAATGTAGGACAACAGAATCTGGGGATGGTGGACCCTTGGCCTTGACAAAGTAAACTCCATCTGTAGTTATTATGGACCTCATCCTGTCATCCTTATCACTGCGAACCAATTCTGATGCAACAAACCTGGAAAGTAAAATAGAAATCGATTGAAGCTGGACAAAAGTGATGACACTATAACTTTAAAATAGCAGAAAAGAAAAGAGAAATTGTTAAGCCTGGATCGGCCAATGAAGCAAGGAAAATCGATAGTTTGAGCCACATTGCCTCTTCCCCTGCCCTAGGGTTCTGCATGGGGCCTGTAAAATCTTGATAAAATCTGAAGAAAACAAAAGGGACTGGCACTAGAAGCCAAAAAGCAGTCAATTTAAAAAATCTGTCAATCCCAGGCCCATTTGCCAACAGAACAATTCACAGGTCATCTTCTGCTCATTTAAAACTTTGCAGCAGGGGAACCGGGCGTTGAATTCTGTATTTTCGTCTGTAAGCAGTTGAAGTCTCGAATTGAGCCTTAGAATATCGGTAGAAAAGATCTCGAGGAAAGAAATAACGATGTTGTAGTTTAATCGGCTTTTCAACTGGTTGTTGGTGACACAGAGCTTTCTGTCATCAAATACCTAAGTACAGGTGGAAGAACTGGGGTTTGCAGAAGTGGGTTCTCTTTTGAGAAGCTTTCCGAAGGGGTTTATACGAAGTGAACAAAATTTTTGGCCTTCAATGGCGTCAAGATGAGAAATCAAAACCATATAAATGTAACAAATATGTTACTACAATGATGATCATTACAGTTGGTAATATTCTTCAACAATATCAACTTGAAAAGATGAAAATGCCATAAATTTTTCTTCTGATTTTTCCCCTGCCTTCTCTTTTTCTTTACTTATAAATTTAAAGATTCGCTGTCTTTACATATGTTTCTTTAAAATGGTCTTTGAGAAACAACTAACTCTACAATGTATTAAAAAGTAACAAGGTTCGTCAGTCTCTATTGTTGATTTAAAATTTTCTCCTTAGGGCACTGGGCTGGAAATCTATCACGGTTAATCTCAGTGTCCTAGGAATGCGTTTATTTTTGCTTTACGGATTTAATGTAACTGTTGTTATAGTTACAATAAAACCTTTTTTTATAATCTATAATATCTAATGAAGTGTGAAACTTCAATTCTAAGATTTAGGACTTTTTGTAAAAATTTTAACTTCGACTTTTAAGATTTCATTTTCATAATGTATTTAATTTTTATTTCGGTAATCCATGTATATTTTAGACAGGTCCTTTATTGATAACAGCACGTTGTTGCTGACCAAAGTTAACCTGTATAAATATGATATTATTATTATTATTATTATTATTATTATTATTATTATTATTATTGAATGAAACAAACTAAAAATTTACAGTTATTTTACAACAAAATGAAGTTGCAAAAAGACTTAATAAAGACTTTAAAATGTAAACGGGATCGTCGATACAGAATCATTCAGAAAAGTGATTATAAGATATTGTGGTTAAGAATCTGAAAAATTCCATTGATAAGCCAATATCTATTAAAAAAATCGAAGTTAGGTGCAGGAATTTTTTTAAGAAATACATGTAAACATCAAACCTTTCAGTAATATCACATTCATTTAGCTTCAGAAGAACATCCTGTCCTTCTGCCATGCTTTTAGAAAACCCAGGCAGAACCCCTCCGGCATCAAAGCAATTACGTTTTAGTCGAACTGGTTTTGGTGCATACTGTCTCCCCCTGGCTGAACCTCGTACTGCAGCAGCTGCACCTGAAGCGAGGTCAAGAACACCGGCAGCCGGTTTGGCTACCGTGCCAACGAGTCCTTTGCCAATGCCCGTGAAGAAACCCTAGAACGGAGTCAAGCTGCTTTTGAAATGAGTCAGTGATTGAATAAAAGCGAATGAAGCAAAATGCAAACGACATTTTCTTTAGTTTATACTTTTTAGATACATATCTTGCAGAAAATACAATTTAAAAAGTCATGAAGTAAGCATCATTCGCGCAATAAACCGCTTAAATATGATTGTCGTTCGCGCAATTTATGTTTACAATCAGAAAAAGGGTGAAACTGGCGAGTCTGGATAGAGCAATGCTATTAAATGCGTGTCATGCATACCATGGAGCTTTTGGAATATATTAACGAATTACAGGTCACCTAGGGCCAGGGAACGCTCTCCTGCTACTATGACATCAAGCAAACATGTTGTATATCCACAGTCACTATGTCCGCAAGAAGAAGGAATGTTTACCTGAACTCCTTTTCTGCTTGCACCCTCAATAGGCTGAGTGACCATACTTGTCAGTCCGCCAATAACACCCATCCCGAGACCTTTGATACCAGCTAATAGATGGTCACTGCTACTACTCCCGCGTTCCGCACGCATTACCCCTCGGGATTCTTGAAGTCGACTGTCCATCGAAGCGGACCACAAGCCATCAGCGATCGAGCCGGTCATCTGAAAAAAATATCACTTTTTAACAAAAGAAGTACACAATTCATAGAATTAAACGATTCGGCAGCTAAGGACATCAGGTTAAATACGTTTCATAAGAAACAGGTAACCAATTAGACGCAATGAAGATGTGGGCTACATTGATGAACTAAAGAAATGTTTGTGAATGGCAGTGAGATATCAACTGAAACTTTAGCAACATAGCCAAGGCTCTCTAATAAACAGAGGTCATGACTTCCTAACAATGGGGATACCGTTTCGAGAAAAGGGTATTTAATCTCCCGTGGAAATCAGTTATACTAAAGCAAGGCCCAAAAGATTCAAATTACAGGCAAATACCTTAGCAGCTGTATCTGATAGACCATGAGCCACGTTAACCAACAGGCCACCCAAGTTGCCTCGCTTGACAAGGCCTTCCATGCCAGTTGAAACATCATGAATTAGGCCCATTGGATTTCCGAGTATATCCAACGAGCCAAGGACACTCGCAGCTTGACCACGTACAACCTGCCAGAAGATAAATTCAAAAATTCAAAATATTGAAAATATCAATTATTGCAATTCTTAAATTAAAAACTGTTTTTTTATTATACAGCCCTGGCCTAGGGCATGCATGCGACTTTTGAAATTGTCTGCAACAGCTTAAGGAATTCATTATCCTAAGCGTTTGAAAACTATTTTCCTTCTTTCTAGAGTCTATAAGAAATACAAGCAACAAAACATAGGAAATGGAGTTTTAGTTCCTCTTGGTAGCCTGACGTAGGAATGGTAAGGTCATGTATACTATTTTTCTTCAAAAATAAGCCGCAGTTTTTTTTTCAAATGAAATTTCGCGGCCAACCTTGTATAGGGTTAAATGCGAGGCTTTTTTAATCTGAAAAGAGATTCAAAACACGATATAAAGAATAAAGGCTAGGTTTTCAAAATGTTCGTAAAATATTCCCTAAATCCTAAATTGGGGGTCGTTTGATAATCCTTAATAATGGGCCTTTAAAATGCCACCTTTGGGAATTATGGATACCATGATGGTTCAATGGCGTCTCGGCCTTTTTACGAAGGTTGAGCTATTTTTCGAGGGAACACAATAATATACTCACATCACTGTAATGCCTTTTGACTTGGTACATGATGACAGAAGTTGTCTCAAACAAATGCTCTTTCTTGAAAAATGCTAAAAATATTTGAAAAAGAAACCACATCAGGCTGTATACTGCAATAATTCTGCTTCTGGTTTTCAAATGGTAACACAGTATCTATCTACCTAAATTTTCAAATTTACAAATATGGGATGAATATAAGACAAATTAATGGTAACCATATTTTAATTAAGGTGAAAGAAAATGGCGGATTGGTTATGCTGCTTGACAATGAATTTAAACTTAAGTAAATCTATTCAAGCCCGCCTAAAAAATCAGTACAATGAAAAATGAACATTATATTAATGGATAAAACAAGATCATAACAGTAAACTACTCTAAGAAAATATTAAATGTTTAATAACTTACTTAGTTCGATATTTGCGTCTTCAAGACTGACAATAGGAAAACCAAGACTCCGCTTTATTTTATGAAGATCAGGAGTTAGCCTGCCAACTGTTAACAAACTTATTTTCGCTTCCGTACTTCCAAGAAATAATCTTTCTAGGTATATTTTCTTTCCTGTTGTATTCCGATTTTGTGTTTCAAGTATTCTGTAAAAGGCAGTATAAAAATACAGAGAAATAAAGCATTACCAGATAAAACAATGAGTGCATAACAGAATCTGAGAAAATATACTGAGAGAAAATGTGTGCGAGTGACGCAAGGTCGCTGCTCTACTTACAAAGCACCTAGATCAGAAAGATTAATTGAGAATGTTCCAAATGTTTGGACGATGTAACTTTAATAATTTGAAATATGTTAAACAGCATCATATGCTGACAAGCTAGCTCATAAATTGATATTTCTGGAATAAATACAAACATAAGTAGATTGCCTACCTTTGGCTAGAATGAATGTCAAAATCTTCTGACTTTAAATCGTTTTCTGAACCATCGCCAGTCCCGAAAAACTGGAGCAACTTGAGAAGGGTTCGATCCTCTAGCAATATTGTCATTTTTCGAAGAGAGAAGTCAAATTTCTGCAAAAAACAGATTTATATAAGTGAGGGTGATAGTTGACTTCATAAAGGTAACTAATGGACAATACATAATAAAAACATTGCATGTATCAGCAAAAGCGATTTGCTTCAGTATAATAAATTACAGAAAAACATTATGACACTGAAAATGTATGGAGCATTAGCACAAACAAATGAAATAAATAGCATATAATTATTTTCATAAATTAAAAAAAAAGAAAATCAATTTATTAATTAAAAATGTAAAGCAAAAGAATAAGAATCAGAAATAAGGAAGGCAATGATCAAAATAACAATATATTGAAAATGAAATTAAACAGATGCTGAACAGGTATTATAAATAGAAATGACAATTTCATCCTTGGGCCAGGCAGCATAACTGAACTTTTTCTATAATCCAAAAAGCTAGAACAGCTTGGCATGTAAAATCGAAACCAAGGCTCTGAAAAGGTAGTCGATTCACTTATAACCTATAGTACTTAAGTGCAATGTTTTGACGGGGATAAATTCTATTTGCGTAAACCTGTGAATTACGCTCCAAACAGATCGAAAGCTATCAGATCGAATTGTAATAGAAAAGCACATTCAACGTCAGGGGATTTTGAACGCAGTCTAGATCTAAGCTTAGATTAACGAAAAGTACTGGCTTGATAATTCACTGATGACTCTGGTTTTTTTTCAGAGAGCCAAGATTCGGGCAATCGGGATTCGGGCAATGGCGACTGGGAAATCAAGATTCTGACAATCGAATTTCGGATAATCTAGATTCGGGTAATCATGATATGAGTACACGAGATTCGGATAATCGAGATTCGAATAATCGAGGTACAGAATTACTAATCCATAAAATAAAATGAAAACAGAATTACTGCAACTCAAAAAAATTACTTCTCAACAAGCAACAGGATAGCGCTATAATAACAAATATGAAACCTTACCCTATAGATATCGACATTTGCAAACGAACTTTCTTCTAGACATACTGAGAATTCGATGGCTGGACTTTCTTTTACAACCTCTCCCTTCATTGATAGTGGTGTTGGAAACAGCAGAACTGGGTACGAGCTACCGAACAGCTGATTGTCAATCTGAAGGAATATGAATCGATAGTTTTAGAACAATTAAAAATGAAGTTTTCTCCGATAGGCATGCAAGTTAACAGATGAAGTTAATCTGAAAAGCAATCGAGAGATGCTGAAGTAGCTTAAACATTCCGTCATTCAGCTATTGGCCAATCAATGAGAGTCTGAGTGGCGTCATACTTATTAATAGGCCAATTTTTTACCAACAGATAGCTGAAAACCTTCAAAGAACAACTATAGTCGGGGACAACTTTCATTTCATCTTTACGTTCACTTTTTATAGTCTTAGTATTATTAAATATTGTAAATTAGGTTTGGTTGGTAAATTTCTTTTCTTATTAGTAGTATAACATATTTATTAGCGCTTATTTTAATCTTTTAAACAGGTCAGGTTGAAAAACATATATGTATGAACCTTCAACCTGTATAAATATTATAAAATGAAATGAAAAATTTAAGTCACTTAAGCATCTGTCGATTGCCTTTAGATAGTTGTCTGCATCAATCCTTTGCAAGCTGCCTGATTCAGATATACAAGTATTACAAATCTTCAAAAAAGCGATGCATTGTTATTGGGGGGCCGGGTAGATATTGCATCACGAGAATTGTATGATTGTGTATGATGCGATGAGCATGATGTTGACGAAGACTATACAAGCTAATGACAGCTACATTTGCAGAAAACTAAACGAATTAATATTCTAAACAGACGTAATACCTTCAACGATGCTACTTCAAGGTAAAAAGGATGTCTTAAGGCCGGTTTCCACTTGATCCGCTCTGGTCGCGCGACTTGGCGAAATCGAATCAACAAGTCAGCGATCGGCGAAGGCAACCAGTCGCCCAGTAGTTTAACTGAGTTGAACTACTCAGCGAATGGTCGCGCATTCGCAGCGAATGAGGAAGTTCAATTTGTGCAGGCCCAATTTGTATTTGCACAGTCGCGCGACCAGAGCGAATAAAGTGGAAATCAGCCTTTAGAATCGAAGACTTCGATATCAAAATGTGATTGAAAAACATAAGCGCAAAATGCTTACCTGGATGTTATCTACCACAAATTCTAATGATCTGTTTTTATGAATGCTTAGATAATCCAACTGGATTCTATGAAATGTAGCAAAGACGATCTCTTCTGGTATTGAGTTAATAACTGACAATCCAAAACCATGAGCCAAGCTTACATTGACCTGTAAGTATAGTTTGATTATCTGTTCAGAAAACATTATACAGTTTGTAATATACAATTAGCTTTCTCATATATAATCTCGCAACATAAATTGATATCACGCCCCTATAACATTGAATAAAATGTTAGAAAATTCCTTTTTGGTAAGTGAGAGACAGCAATCACTATATGCTGACGGATAACAAGGTGACTACCATAACTTGTAACAAATCTCTTCAAAGAAATGGCACAGAAAGGGGGAGAGAGCGTTAAAAATGGTATTGGTAGGTTGAGAATCGGACATTAGCTTGATATCCCAGATATTTTAAATGGAGCCCTAATAAGAAATATTTTTAGGCGAGTTGACCTCAACCTCGATGAGCATGGCCTGACGTTTCTAAATCATATCAATAATTGAAAGAAAAGAAAGTTGGCAGCTGGCAAAAATCAGGTCCGTCTCTATTAAATTAAAAATTATCCGACCGACTATTTCAATCTTTTTTGCGCTTCTGTGAGGTAGGATTTTCCAACCTCTTTTGGAAAGATAGCAACTACACGGGGATTTCCTATGAGTTGAATACTGAAAGAGGGAAAGAGAAAACTGCAAAGAAGAAAGTTATAACAATGTCTAGAATCTGGTTTGAAAGTAGGTTCGATTAAGCTGAAAACTTTGTCCTACCTGCAACTCTGAATCATAGGGAGATGTTTGTGCAGAGAGGGTAAAGAATTTGGAAGCGCCGCCTCTCTTCTCTACCAACGTCCAGTCCTGTTCTGTATCACTAGCCTAGAAAAACGAAGCACAAAAATTTATATTTTAAAGTTTCTTAACTTGTTACATCCATCTATAGGAGTTTAGTCCCAGCATTGTTGCTTAACGCAAGAAAAACCAGTATAAAAGGACGGACAGTACAAGAATCTTTCAAAGCATAAGCAAATGAATATTAAAGCTAATATGGTTCACTATAAGGCAGGATCACTTAAATGCTTGATCGAGAAATCATCTGCATGTGATTAACACGGCTCAAGACTGCTGCTAAACTTCATCTTATCACTTAATGAAAAAAGTCACCAAGCGTAGGAAAAATGTTTTGAGAGACATGGAAAACCTTGAAGAGATTTAACCTAAACGATATTTTATAACTGAACTGAAATCACAATGTTGTACAATGTTTGTTTTTTCAAAGCCATTTTCAAGTTCTCTACCGCCAAAAAACTGTTCACAGAAATCACGATGTTTTATCTCTTGCTGTGGAGAGTCCCTTCTGAACCAGTCTTGGCTGAAGGGCGACCCTCCTCAAAATGACACTAGAAGAAGTCTCACCATTTCGTCACAGGCATCCGTTATTCTGACGACCCGGGTAGGCCCATCGGTCGTAACTCGGACAACAAGAGCACCAGAGCCAGGACGCAATTTGTGTTTACAAAGACAGTTGTCAGCCGGCCATTTTCCTCCAGAAGGTCTTCTTAGTGGTGCAAGCACAGCTAGGTTTCCTGTTAGCAGCAAAAAACATAAAATAGCCCACAAAACACAAGAAAGAGTCAAGGCTTAATGCAATGATATCAGTATTATCATGATACAAACTGAACAATTAGTTTGGCTAAACGAGCAATAGCGATTGCACCAAATAACAGATGTTTTTTTTTCTTCGTTTTATGTACAAAATATGCGACAGAGCGACCGGGATAGCAAATTATACCCAGATAAAATATTAACAAGAATCATCACAGAAATATTGCCTTGAAAGTGTGAAGGCATTGATAAGACTGCGGTAAATGGGATAAAAGGTACAAAGTAAGGTTGACGAATGAACATTGAGAAGTCATCTGTTCCAAGCGTAAATTAAGAGACCCAGCAGCATATAGCGGTGTATGCAATAACTAAGTACGTAAATACCTTCTTGGAGACCATTGACGCCATCTTGTGGCCTAACAGCCATGTTTACAAGGCCGCAGCAGAGCAGACCGTCCTGCAACAAAGCAAGGTAGTTACGGCAATACGAAAATAATGCTTTGGTGTTGATGGAAATTTTTCAGATAACTGTTTGGTAATATTACTCGATAAACTATATTACTGTATATAACACCATCTTTATTACTTAACTTAATGATCATTCCTATTTACACAGTTAATTACTTTATTCTATAGTTATACTTGCTTAGTTAATGCATGCAACAAAACTGGACTTGACCATCAAGAAAACATTTACAATATTCGCTGTATCTTTTAACTAAAAATTTTGACCTCAAATATCGCTTTTTTATTAACAATTTACTTTTAATCGCTTGAGAGCGAAGATTTTTATTTTAGCCGGGGAGCGATTTTTACGAAAATTGAATAGCCCCTACCTCAAAATTCCATGTTTGAGTCATTTCTCGCCTCGGATCTGATCTTGCAAGGACTAGTGGCGCAAAGCCTCGATTTTCCGAATAGTTTCCAGCTATGTCCAAAACTAGAGAGCACTTTCCCTTTGGTGACGTCTGCCGTGGATCAAACGGTGACGAGGAACCAACGTGTAAAAGCTGGCCTTTTGCGTTCATTCGCCACAACTGAGATCGTTTGTGCAAAACCTTACGTTAAGATAAAAAAAGAAAGTCTGAAATATCATGAAATTCTATCGAGTGTCCAGTGAAGGGGTAGGGAGTTATTCAGCAAGAGACAGCTAAGCGCTTAAAGTACAATAAGAGCTACATTTAGTACACTGATAAGTTATTTGTAATTAACATTTTAATAGCCATATATTTTTATATTCAAAGAAATTTTATTCGAAAAAGTTAATCAAGAGTTTCTCTAGGTGGAATTCAATCGGACTTGGCCACCTAAAAAATCGTTTAAAACACCTTGAGAGTTTTCATTTCGGTGAAAAGGCGTTGCATTTTTTATTATCTAAATCCAAAATAAGCAGAATTGGACAAACGATCAACGAAATGTTATTCTTGCTTAATGTACTGCAGCAACAAAATTAACATTTTGTGGGGAACAATATGAGATTTCCAAGGAAGTGAAATCTAGGCCCGATGCCTCAGCAACATTGAGGTAATTCATTGCTTTGTGCTATGTTCTTCTTTTAGCACTATTGCCCTCGCTATGTGAAGTCGTAAAACATGATTGTATCCAAAATTTCAACGATTCTACGAACCAGCTACATAAAGACCGGGCTACAGTAAAACACATTGAGCATTTCAAGAACAGACAGCAACTTCATAGTCAATTTGAAGCAAATTACCTTGCGACTAAGAACAACTTTTTGTCCTTCGACTACATCGAGTACAAGCTGTCTGTCTTTGTAGGCTGGCTCTAAGCTGATGAAAGCTCCATGGTTACAGTTGTCTGTCATGCAGTCAAACCTAGCATCCGGAAACGATTGAATACATTTGGCGATTGCAAAATGTGACTAACATAAATGAAGCTATCATAAACATCAACATAAGCAACGCAGAAGGATACAATCGAAATTAGGCGAATAATACTTCAAAATCACAAAGGTTGAATGGAATACAAGGTCTGCTATACCCTGGCCTATTATTCTTATGGACATTGAACTGGTAGATTCTCAATATTTGCGAGTTTTAATGCTCATTATTAATGGGAAAAAAATACCAACTCCCAGAATTGTTTTGAAAGATGACTTTGTTAAAGACTTGAATTTTCCGTCTCCCTAATTTCAAACATTTGCTAGAATCCCTGATCAACGTTGGCACAATAAATTTCAAGTTTGATAGATAAATTGTATACTCAATAACTAATCCTAACAATGTTTAATATTACATAGATTTTGTGAAAGCCAAGTTTTGATACATAGCTGAAACACGAGATCTGCCAAGAAAATGACTGAGGGTAAAGTCTACTTACGGACTGAATGTGCTTCCAAGTGCAATGTAAATCGCATTTTGATAATACAAACGAGGCAGGTCTCGATTCAGAGTCATCATATCGTAGTTGTCTGACATTTCCCCATATACACTCATCGCCAGTGTTGCATTAAACGAGGGTTCGTCTAGCGCATATGGCACTGTGCAGAAACAAGAATTATGGAATTCGTAAAAGTGGGAGTTGTTAAACACGAAACTGAGATTTGGACGAGGGGGTAAACGATTACGATCTGCTCTTTGAGGGAAAAACGTGAAGCTGATCTGCAGCTAGCTAACAATGCTTTGATACCTGAACAACGTAAGCGGGTAATGACAATAATAATTAATCAATTTAGTCTTGGTGCTACATTACCATACACAGAAAAAAATTTAAAATGTTGCTACAACAGCCAACTCAAGCCAAATGCGATAACTAACACAATCTAACTACTCAGTTGGTCTCTGTGTTTAAACAAACACCAGAAAGGTGCACATGTTATGGAACACGAGTATAAACGATCAACCTAAACTCGAAGAGGGTAGCAACGTGCGCTATTTAGCTTAAAATCAGATATGATTTTACCAAATAACAGAATCTAAATGCCTAAAGAACAGAGTAGAAGGCAATCTGCGGTGGAGGTCAAACACTCTGTCTTTATCTACCAAGGAAAATGCGATAATGAGGTCAGCAGATTACTTCCTGGCATTGACTGTTTTCATAAATTGATAGTTAGTAGTAGCTAGGCTTTGCTACGAATTGTTGGCGCCTTGGTTTCATACAACTATAAATTACTGTCAACAGTAAAATACATTTGCAATTTGACTGCTTTAATTGAGAAAGGCAAAAAATGCAAACTTCCCAGGAGTTTCGACACGAGAATCACTGATAGCCTCTTTCAAAATAACAACTCCCTCTCTTATTTTTAGGAAAAATTTTCCTTACCACTATGTTTCGGCTTAAGAATGCATCGCTGAGATCGATCAGCGTTTTTGCTTTGCCAGAATGTCACTTCTACCTGAATAAGAAAATCAAAAAGGCCTTTTTCAACACTAAGAGTATTAATGTACCAATAAAGTACAGTTAATTCAAAATAGCAGCGTCTAAGGAGGCCGTTAGACATGCTAGTCTTTCAAGACTGCACGTAAAGTTGAATTCATATAATCGCATACAAAGCTAAATACAGTTGCACAGTACGCAATTCTGTTTTGTCAGGCATTCTTAACATTTAACAATAGTACAAACATTATTATTTTGCAATCCAATGCCAACAGCTTTCAGGAGCAGTGTGAGACAAGTTCTTGCGAATCATAACGGTAAGAGGAAACAGCTTCCTCACCTTTGATAAGTTATCGATTCTAAATGGAGGAGGAAGATTGTCTGTATCAGCAAGAATCACGTGAAATGTTGCTCCCTCTAAAACAACCTCGACTCTCAAGAACATGAAGGATGCGCTTTGACTGGATCTGGAAACGTAAAAGTATTTAAATAACTATATATCGATGGTGAATCTTAAAGTATAGAATAAAGACAAAGTTGATACCACGGAAAGCAACGGTGGACAAACCCTTGTTTACAGCTCTACATAGAACGATTTAAATTTTACATATATTTACACTATAGCCTCTTATATATGTTAGGCATTATACATCTTAAAATCGTTTTCCATTGCTAGAATAGAACACAGGACTTGTCGAATCAATAGATTGTCAGCCAGTATGGGCAAATGATACTGAAAAGCTTATACAAATTTTGGATTAGCTATGTATAGTATTTTTAGAACCTTGCTATCTTTGAATACTATGGTCTATCAGGACTCGCGCATATTAAGTGCAAGACAATTTGATGATTGTTTTTCTCTAGACAGCGCTTACTGTTAGATTCTTGTGCGTTCGATACATACACATAAAACACTTCTTGGCGAGATGAAAGGTGAGGTCACTTTGGCAGAGCCACGTATATAAAGCAATGAAATTTAATGAACTGGCTTCTACAACATACCTCATGTTCACATGAAACGAGCATTCCTTGTCAATTTTGAATCCCCCTGACCAGTAACAATGATCAATATCGTGCAGCCTAAAGTAAAGAATGAAAATTCAGTTTCCACTATTGCTAAAGAGCGTACTGGAAAATACTAAATTGTGATGGGTCTTTTCAAACTAAAAAGAGGAACTTGTGAATTTTATGACCAAAGCAAATGATTTTATGATAAAATCATGATAAAGTTATACATTGGTGAAGTTCTCATTGGAAAACAAAAAGAAATTACTAATTACGAAACTATAACATGAAAAAGGGAGTACAAATTAAATTGAAAAAGAGCTGTATTTAATGTAATGGTATAATTGATGGCATATTGTAGTAGTTGCTTTTGTAAATACAGCGCATAATTAAGACGTAGGGTGTAGCGTTAATGTTTTGAATTTTTTTTCGTCATTTACATTGATCTAGTAATATCTTCTTAACAAAAAGGTTGGCTGTTGCTGCGCTATTGCTGCGCTATTGCTGCGCTATTGCTGCGCTATTGCTGCGCTATTGCTGCGCTATTATCAAAGGAAAAGGACTACCAAATCTATAAAATATGACGTAAGAAAACAATTGGCATGGAATTTCTTAGGCTCTTTTTCATTCAAAAAGTTTGTCAGTAAAGCAATGTACTGTTGATGTTCTTATGGGATGGTTTGATATCATATGAAGAGTGACAAAAAAGCAAGAACAGTAGTATTTCAAACTCTTCCATGCTGAGTAGTATGCAGCCAAAGAGGCGTCGAAACAAAAACAAATATAACTTCTAGGTTTTCAAAGATAATTTTTTCTCTAAATAATACAAACCTCACACACAATAAAGGGTCGAAATCAGACCTTGGCCAATGAAATAGAGTTATGGCTCCTGGCAAGCTTACAACGCAACCATCTGGGCTTACAGTACCCTGAAACAGAAGCACGGTGTTATACTCTTCGAAAATATGTTGTCTAGAAACACCTCGTACAAGGCTCTGATGGCAGAGAAAGAAAATTTGGGGCCAAATATATATTTGCAAAAATGAATTCATTTCGGTTGCAAGGTTTCGAGAAAGTAGCTCCAGTTTACTTGACGCCTGGATCAAATATTATTCCATGTATCCTGCCCAAATTTTTTAGAAATCGTGACCGACATTTTGTGTGTAGAACATTGTAGAACTTTGTTTTCAAGATTGGACAGGGGCAAAGAAGACATAGCTATTTGCTCTCTCTGTCCAAGTTTTCTATTAAACAGAGATCACAAGACTCTTAAAGAATTGCTTGGTACTTTTCTATTTCTTTATTCACAGAGACTTGGTTCATAACTTCACTTACCTCGCCCTTAATCATGTGTCTTTGAGCAAAGGCAAGCGAATATCTTGATCGATTTTCTAACTGGAATTTGGTGACGAATGAGACAATTCTTGTGCAAGACAACTGACCCTGGCCAAACACCGAGTTTATACCAATATCAAAGGTTCTGTAAGATAGTGACAAAATGCTTTATTCAGAAAGTGCAAGATCACAAAACGGAGAAAATCGTTGAGAACATAAGATAAAATTAAGGTAAATTCTTTTTCGATAAAAAAAATTAAATTGAGAAGATTATTCTCAAAGGTAAATTATGCATCATCTGGCCTACTTCAAGTAATATTCTATAGGAAATAAGCACTTGTAAATGACAGTCATGGTTGGCTACATAATCATACAAGGAAAACCATGGAGGATAACTCACATTTCTGGTTTGTTCCCTCCTTGTCGAACATAGAGTGTCCGGTGGTCGCGGACACTTTCCAATGAAAATGAGTGACACCTGAATAAAAAACCAACAAACTGCTTAGCGTAATAAGAAAGAGTTATCTTTCATACGCTTCAGATGAAAAATATTTCGAAAATTATTCAAAAAATTATTCAAATTCAAGCAGATATAGTATTTCAAAATGCACGTCAGAAGCCTCTATAATAGATCGGATCCATTGTCTCCTATCACATTTGAATCCACACCTTAGTTAACAAGTCAAGGTAAGACGAAAGGCAGATCCTGAATAGCTTGATTGAGTGATGGATAACTTTCATACAGTTAAAATCAAGAAGGGTCTGACAACCTATCAACACCGAAGAATATTCATTTTCCTTAAAAGGGTAACCCTTGAAAAGCAAAACTGTTTCTGATATCTTGCAAAGCCTCATCCACTGCAAAGCCTCGTGAATAATACGATTTTTAAGTGTCGTTTATTGGTAACTGCATGAATAAAGGTGTATAAAATAAAGGTGTCCCCATTAACGGGACAGTTTTCAACGGATGTGAACTGCAATGAGAATACACTATGCGACAAAACCATGCGTACCATAGTGGTCCTTGGTACATGTCTCTACCAACCCTCATCTGGCATCTAAACATTGACTCTTCATCGACGTATGAGAATAGTAACGGTGTCAAACTTCGTGCTTTCTCGTGTTCCTCAAACTGCCCAGCCGCCTCCACCGTTTCCCCTTCTCTCCTGAAAACAAGTGGGATGCCAGTCTTGTTCACCAACCAATAAGGCGAGTATACAGATATCTGGAAAAGTGGAGAGTGATGGTCAACGTTTGAAGGGAATAGGACACGAACAAAAAATTGTGTCAAGAACACGAAAAAAAACGACTTACTCACTAATCGTATAAATGTCACACGTCATCAAACATTAGAAGAGAAACATGCCAGTAGAGGTATGTTTTTCGCGTTTTCCTTTCCTTCCGGGAAATACGGGGATCTTATAAAAACTATGTAACAGTGCTGAAGTAAACATGACTAAGCTGGACTGATTTTCAGGTAACATGAGATCTTTCTGTCTTATTCTAGCTTTTCTGACTTAGTTGTAACTTGGATAAACAAGACAAGACTGTACCTTGGCAGAACTCATTTCGTGTTCAATTTTCAAATTCAGTATAATTGGTCTGCCTTGAACGTCAAGTAGCTTCACTGGAATAACAGCTGGGTCAATTCGGTACCTCGTTGAAATCCTTACGTACTCGAACCTCGTGTGGCTTTCAAATGAAAAGCCAATTTCAAAGGTGTTTCTTGCATCGACCTTGGAGGAAAAGCAGCAAAACATTATTTCAGTATGCGGGGCTGCTTTGATATACGATAAATTTGTATTGCAAGAAAACTATAGATTGTAAATGTGATATCACAAAATGATGATAACAGAAAAATTCAAAGCAGATTTTTGCACTTGAAAAATTGTGAAATTTTTATCAATGTTGGAAAGAAATATTCCTAAAATACTAATGACGACAATATCTCCGCAGAGAAGAACCTACTTTTTGAGAGTCTGACTTTTCTTTGTTTTTATTTCAAAGGTGCATAGGGTTATCCAAACTTCAAACGTTCTTATTGAGTATGGGTTATTTCTTGCAATCGAAAGAAAATACCAAAAAATACTTATGTAAAAAAAATCAATCTTATCTTTTATCAGAAGCACAAATGTATGATAAAAATATATATTTGGGATTTGGGAGGTTTTTGCTAAAAATTGCCAACACAATTGCTAAAATTGGACAATTACAAATGATCCTTGGCCACAATTTCACGAAGGTACCTGTTTCCTAAAAGTTTTAAAAAGGAGGTACTTCTTTAAGGATAATTTTTCCAAAAGTTGGGATAGACATGCCCCTGGCTCTTACGTCACTGGTGTTACACAATGTTCATGACATTGGCCACTGCGCAACAGACTGCAATAAAACAATGATTATGACCTGAGAAAAAGTGTATTTACATTGTGCAGTGGCACTGATTTTCCTGACTTGATCCTTTCTCGTTTTGCTCCTCCTTTGATTATATAGAGAAGTTCAACTGGCAGTAAATTGACTAATATCAAATGGTGGACAAGACTGATGGTATGTCCTGGGTGCATAAACACTTTCTTCTCAACTGCTTCAGTGAAATTTGATGGCTTATCAACTGGAAATCCTTCTCGCATCACAAAACAGGCAAATCTGCAAATATGATAAAAGGCCGCTTAGAAAATTTATAAAAACAGATAATTAAATTCGCTTGCTTCGGGAATAGAATTATAATTTCCTGTAACAAACAAAATCTTTCTTTTACGAAAATGATCTTCAAAGGAAAGGAAGACATTCGGTCCTCGATAACAAAGTAACTTTTTAGCTGGTAAAAATGATGCAGGGATTTAAAAAAAGATATTTATGAAAATTGAAGCTTGAAGGGCCAAATTGAAACAACCTTTAGATGATTGGAAAACATTGCGGGAAAAGAAGAACTATTATACAGCGTCGATAAACAAGTGTTGATTCTTTATATTCGTATTTGAGTTATGTAAAAGACTGACAACATGTGAAAGTGAAGAGTAAGTCAAAGACAAGATCAGCAAGAAAGTATACTGCATTGCCTGAAGAGCAGTTACCGGAAGTGGCTTTTCTGTTTTCCATGGCACTCTCTCAAATAGCCCCGCCCTTCATACGGTTTCACCACATCCCTCCATTCTAGTCTATCCTGACAGTAATCGAAATTTCCGATCGTACCCGGGCGCACGTAAAGGTTCCACTGAACATTTGAAACCGGAATTGGAAAAGATGAACCCGGATTCAATGTAGGAAATTTCAAGCCGGTATCCTCAGATACATTTTCCGCCCAAATTTCCATCGGAACATCAAGTTTGTTAGAAATGATCAGTGAGGAGCGAACAGTGACAACTTTTCGGGCTCCTTCAAGGGACACTGCAAAGACGAGTCTCAGAGCGGACGATTTCAATGTTTGAACTCCTCCAGGGTTATCTTGAGCGGGTAGAACGTGTCTGAAGAAATCGCCAACTTTGTCAACAGTGACGGGTGAACTTGGTTGCCAGCCACTGACTTGAACGACAATTTGGTGCACTTTGAGTTTATGCGTGCCCTGAAATTATAAATAGATGAATGAATAAGAAGTTAAACATGAGAGCCCTTTACAAGGGCTCAATCCTGTGCCAGATAACGAGCTTAGCATCAGGAAAAGTATCCTCCTCTTACAAACCAATCCATCCATACTTTCAATGCAAGTAAAAGTGAAAAATAAACATTAAAATGGTCTGGTTTATTATATGGCTTGACAACCAGTAGCAATAAATTCACCACCTCGTTGGAATACTTTAGGCTAAGAAAAAGCAAATCTTCAAAGACAGGGGTACGAAAGCATTGAGGCTTCCTGTTCCACTTCCTGCTTGGTAAAATGACAACTGGTCAAGTGATGATTACTATCTAAGATTTACTTTATGCTGTCTGGAAACCTAAAATTGATATAGATCTGCTCAAAAAAAGGAACTAGCTAAGTATTATTCGAGGGAACTTTTCTCAAAAGGTGGGCTACAGACATGTTGAATTACAAGCTCAGACAGTAAAATTTTCACTGAGGCTTTCCTACCTTGTGTCTCATTTTGTCTCTCGATTCAAACCTGACCGGCACCTCCTCATCTGCAGTCACCTCCCTCCATGAATGCACGGCTTCAGTGTAGGACCTCTTCCTAATGTCATCAGCTTTGGGGTCTGCATTCCCAACGGCCTTTGTAGGTGATGTGATCAAGGTACCAAACCGAATTGGGCACCCGCTCCTGTTCCGCAGCAGAAAGGGCACGAATGGCGCTCTTTTCTTCGCCAGCGAGGATCTACTTTCTTTTGATACATCCGTACTGCTCTCCCCCAGGGCCGATTGATTGTCCTTCAAATAATCTTCTGTCCAAGCTGATTTTGTACTGTAAATCATTTCAAGCAACGATGACGTCACATTCAAGTCCAGTCTCTCTGGCGCTGTAGACAAAGAATTCAACTCAATATCTAACATACGTAATCGTTACAAACCTTGAGAAACAGATTTTAAGAATCGTATGTTGATTTCAGTAAAAAAATCTTTGCAGGTCAGGAAGTAAGTAGCAAGGCTGTTACTTGTACAATGATATGAAACAAGCAATTGCCGTTGAAAACTAGCCTGAATGCAGAATCACCCCTCATCAATCCTTGCTTTCGAAAGTGCGTGAAAAACGACATGTGGAAAAATTCATGCCATCGTAGACTTGCATCATCAAACATCACAAAGAGGTAGACAATCAGGTAAAAATCGTGCTTTTTCTGAAATTACAACTGTTATGAAACATGATTAACATCAGCGAAATTTGATCACTAAAGTGCAGTCCAAAAATTAATGTTTTATTGTTGTTCATCAACATGCATGACCAATTTGCACCCTAAAATTCAATGTTCAAATCACCTTTACAACCCACATCGTTGCCGTAAACATTTACTATAGACATTCTAAACCTACCATGGATTTTCACGTATGTGCGTTCTCCCTTCTTCGCTGTCTTTTCAGTTCTATGCCACTGCACAGTACATTTCCATGGCTCAATGAACGGCTCCCAGCCCGAAACATTCCTGTTATAGTAATCTCCCATAACAGTAGCATGCGATGTGCCTTCCCCCGTATGCTGAAGATCATGCCGAAGGTATAGGTTGCTTAATAGAATCTCGACCAGGGGGATGTCGTTGTTTCCGCAGTCATCGATAAGACAAAAGCTCAACACTGTTCCTGTAACCTGGAACAAAAACGGAAGCGTAGTTGGAACACGATTATCATAAATTCTAGTTAGCGATTGCTTGAGCACAGTAGCTTGTTTGAGAAATCCTTTTATTCCATATAATCGTCGAGAAGTGATGACGTCATCGAAATCTATTTTTAGAACTTTTAAGTTATCAGCAAATAAGCAGAAAGAACATTGTAGAAAAACTATTGCATTAACATCTCGGTTGATGATAAGCTGAGAAGGAAAGAACCTTACAAAATAACCAAGAAACCTATTAACTTGAGCAGACGATGCCAAATACTTGTGAAATTCTATGAAAATTCAATACAGAAGCTGTTCTTCCGAACTAGGACACTATTGGGGTCGCATGCAGTGATACCGTTGGCTATTGTGCAGGCTCTAAGTAGCTGCCAAGTCGGATCAGTAATTGCAGGTACAAAATATTGGCGTCAGCAGGTTAGAAATACCAATAGCAGTAAACAACGAAATCACATGAGTTTTTTGTTTGGAATCAGCTGAAGGCATCTCGAAGAAGACATCAAGGAAGACATCAAGGAAGGAAGACAGCTGGCCTCTTAGCTGAGAGGAAACAGGCAACTTCAAAACTTGTCCTGGTCAACTATAAATATGTGCTAACCATTCGGCCTATTATCGTTGGCTTTCATTTTAAATTACTAAATCAGATTAAAGAAGCGTTTTATAATAATTCTTAATTTGTATATATTGAAATGTAACTAGGTTAATCTATTTTTTATGCAATAGCTATTCCTGTAAGTTTGTAAGTGGAACATTATTTCATACTACAACAATTACAACGGAGAGCCCCTTGAAAATCAGCATTTCTGAAGGGCTACCTTACTTAAACATATAAAAATGAAACACCCCTAATGCGCGATTTGTATAAACAGCAAAACCTACCTCAAAACCAGCAAGTGCCACACCTTCTCCTTGCTCTCTATCAGAGGCTGCTTTCACATCAGCAGTGCCTCCAGTAGCAACATCCAAAACTAGACTGTCTTCTTCGGTATAAATAGGCTTTTGTGAAATAAGAAGACTGTCGTTATTTGAATCGCTTTCAGCGGTTGTATTAACATCTTCTTGAGCTTTGCTTTCGTCTGATTTTTCCATAGCTTGACTGATTTGCTTTTGCGCTGATTCAAAAATTCTCAAAAACAACTTGATGTCATGATATGACAATCGAACATTTAACTGAGAGTGAAAATGGACCTAAAACAAACAGAATGCTTTGCAACGATATGGTAAAATTAAAAATTACATATTCAATTTGTTGGATCTTGGAGTTTTCCGAACAATTAAGACGAAATTATTGGGATAAGAAGAAATTGCACAATGCTGTATTTTTCAGATCAGAAAGGTATGCATATACAAATGATAAAATTATGTCGATCAAAATATCATTTTTCGACAATAATTTGGTATCGCAAAATCTGGAGTTAACGTATGAAGATTCTATGCCCTAGCAATTGCCTAGCTTCCTTAAGGAAAATTTCTAAGAAAGTCACCGGAGATTTGCAGTCCAAACCCGAAAGAACACAAACACATTATTTCAAAAAGATAAGGATCGTCACAATATAAAGCAAGATATAAATTCAAAGGAAATCAGTTTTTGGGTTTCGAAGGTCGCGCTTGCAAAGGCCCAAAACAGCTGCTACGGGCTTTAATATTACCTCTAATGTTGGCTTCACCTGCATTGCTCCAAGCAATCCTTTGTTGACAGTCTGGTTTTTCAACTTCACAGCAGAATTTAATTCGATAAGCACAGTAACAGGATCAATAATCGACAAAGCCGTATCATCAATGCTCGCCAGGATACAAGAGAACACTTCCAGGCTTTGAAGACTGACTGTTAGCGGTCTTTCGGAGAAGTGATTGGGACGATAAGCCAAAACTGCAGTTGTCTAAAAATTGGAACGGAATGTATCGGTAAACCTACGATGTTGTATTTCATTCTTTCACTGCTCCAATAATTCAGCCAGCAGTTAAAATGGTCTACCTTTTACTTCGAACAACGTTGGTTATAAATTTAATACGAATGTTATCATCAATAGATTTTTAAAAAAAGGGGAAGTATAAAAATACGTAGACAGAATTCTATCAACAGAAGTATGCAATCACTGGGCACAAACAGATGATATCATGTAACACAGTATAATATGACAGCTTCTACCGAAATAACATCAAAATATATAGTGACCAAAGGGTGACGCACTTATTAGGTCAGTCAACCAACTACAATTGTTATTGCAGCTTAAAATAGGGTGTTTTTAACAGTCATAACGGTTATAGGTAGTAAGGCATGCGGCAATGTACCATAAACGGTTACAAGCTTACAAAGGGGACTGTTTTCGACCTCTTTCCTGTCACGAGTTGTACAAATGAATGGATTCGCAGATTTTTTTCCATGTTTACAGGAACTAAGTTCATTTACAAACACATTGCAAACCACTATAAATACTATCATCTTCAAACGTATCAGAAATTCATTCGAAAACTCTCTCTTATCAGTTGCTATACTTAAATACTTAGAAATCTACCTGTAATATAACGGCTGCAGTGTCCATTGAAGTGTTGTCTTCAACTACAATTATTTCTGTATCGGTCATGTTGACTTTCAGCTCAAACTGCTTTACATCCTAGAGGCGAGATATTGCATATTACAACAAAATATAAACTATAACTACAAGTTATATCTTCGATATAATTCAGATTTGCACAAGCATATTTAAGATCGGAAACAAAACTTGGACTGTATAAAAATCTAAAGAAATTTCCAAACATATCTTTGTATATTTATATATATTGCCAATTGTCTTGAAGTTACTTGCACAGAGCTATGACCCATAGTTTGCTTCCCAATGTCTATAGGTTTCTATTATTAGGTTTCTGTTCTGATAATGTTGGTCTCGCTGTAAATGGCATAGAACCTTTAAAAACGGCGAGCTAGAAACCCTACCATGCTATTAATATTAGAAATAGCAAAATAACTGGAAGGGACAGCGTTTCATTGAGAAATAAAAGGATAAAATGTCTAAATTAATTTCATGATACAGCCTTAAAGAAAAATGACAGTGAAAAAGCAGACCGTTATTTGTATGCAATTCATTAAACATCTTGGTCCCAAACAATTTTTTCTCAAAGTATTTAAAGCATTAAATGTTTTATAAGACTAAGCGGCTCCAACTCGATAGCGACGCATATTTTTACTCTCAAAATAGCTAGAAGGCTTTGCTTTTTCTTTGAAACAAAGATCATTGCTCGTTCACAATCTATCAAAAGACTCACTGGCTTTCTTGGTGTTGTAGATGCTTTCGTGATTATCCCGGAAGGCGGGTGTACGTCTCCTGATGTTGGTGAAACTAGCTCATCAGTTTTAGTTTTAATTTGAAATTCTTTTTGCTCTGGAATGAAAGACAAAGGGAAAATTAGGAGGCTCCTGCTCTTATGAGGACTATATTAGGACCAGCAAATTAAAGGCAGTCAATGAAATCATCAACAACCAGGATAAAAACTAAATACAGTCCTAGTAAGAAAATTAAGAGAACAATCTCCGACTTCATAGTATTCGACGTAATGCTCTTACCTAGACATCAAAATCGGTCGAAACATCTAAATGAAAATAAAATCCCCGAATGGTAATAAACAATGGACAATGAACTTTTGTAAAAACCCAAACATGTGCCAAATGAAAGTGTTAGAAACTGTTTTCAGAAAAATACAAACCCCTGTATTCATTTTCTTCCTTCCTTGTAATAAAATTCCATATTTGCATCAAAAAATCGAGGATCACTATGATTTTACTTCGGTTGAACAGACACGTGATGTGTGTTTTATTTTTTGTATCCAAGTAATGAACTTCAAACTGCAAAACCCTGTCTAGCATATCATCGTTGTATTTGCTACTAGGTTCCAAGATCTTCGTGAAAACATTGCTGCAATTGTTATCTATGAATTCAAAAGAAAAGGAGTGTGGATAAAATCGTTGAAATCCATCATTGAATTACTAACAAAATAGTGTCTCGAGCATCTTTAATTCAGATGACAGAGAAACTGCTTCTCAACTTCAAGCATATAGAAGCAAGGTACCTTGGAGCGTCAGCTGAATGAATCTAAAAATAAAGCTTTTTAAACATCTTAATTTTGGATAAAATATATACAATGTAACATAGATATCTTAGTTTAGTGACAGAGAATATCATACGATCTATACAGCACGAGTAAATAATCTCAACAGACTTGTCATAACCGATTGTATTTGCGTGCACTCCACAATGTCAATTCATTTTTTAAGCTGTTCTGAAAGGGTATTCCACGGGTATACCCAAGTTCTGAAGATATACCTCTAAAGCTCTCAGTTTCTAAATCACTCCTTTCAAATAGCAAAGTACCTTTGGCAAATCATCAATATCTTACCAGATACATAATTCCAAGCTAGAAAAACAAACCTTTACTCCTTATATCGTGAAGAAGCACTCCATGAGAAACCAAATCCATTGATTTTGAGCCATCAGAAAAGGACTCGTATACAAATTTCGATTGGACGAAATCAAGTTTTCCCAGCTGTTCTGAAGCATCACCTCTCTGCGGTATATCACCAAATGAAAACTTTGGAATCATTTCAATGGTTACATTAACAAGACTTAGCGACATGCTGAGAGTTGTCCATACAGCATCAGACTCTGTGGCCTAATCGAGAAAAAAACAATGATAATAAAGACTTTTGTGTCTAATTCCTTTGAGGATTTCTTTGTCAATGTTGTATGAAACATACACATTTACACTTGGCTGCCTAAGAGATACTTTAAATCCCCAACCCTGCTAATTACAATTCAAAACAGTTCTTGGCAGTCCAAATTTCATTTCAGTGAGACCTTTATCAAATCTAGACCTGTATCTAGATTGATCAATGGGGCATCTTAAAATCTACACTTTCAAAACTTAATTTAAAACCGAATGAAAGCTCAGTATTAATAACTAGATTCTTTACAATTTCTTTGTCGATAACTGCTGTCGCTTGTGTGGTGTTCAGATGCTAGACTTCATTTCTAAAAACTCTTATAATACAATAGTTTCTTAATTAAAAAATCAATTTCATCATTTGCTATCTGACTAACTCGGTCAAAATAGGAGATAGATTACAATCTTTTGATCAAACGAATTCAATCCATATCTAAGAAAACATGAAATCTTAATCTAGATTTTATACCTCTTGAAGCGGATCGATAAGAACAGATGATGGTCGTTCAAACTGCTCAAACTGCTCGCCTAGGTTTTCTCCGAGCATTCCCATGATTAAACCAAACTGAGCCAAATCCAGTGTCACATATACGGAAGATAGTTTCCCTGCAATCGTCATGTCAGGTACTGGAAGTAAAGGGAACGGCATCAGATTAAGAAAATATGAAAAATGCATCTTGTTGTTAGTACAATACCTAAGAAAGAGCTAAATAGAGAGGACACTTTGATCTTAGGCCAAAAGTAATATGAAGGTGGCAAGTTCATTTCCTTGTTTCCATCGGCTATCGGTTTCCTGCTAAAAAGACAGGACGAGAGCATTCTGGCGTTCTGGGTTTCAACCTACAACCCTTGGCATTTAAAAGACCTAATTAATAGGCCACTCCTCTTTAGAAGGTGAATGGCAACGATAAAATGATGTTCCAAAATGTGACACAAACATAATCAAAGAAAAGGCAATTTGATTTCCATAATTACCTTGTCTACCAAACGCCCATTCTAAGTTTCTTTCTACCACAAGCTCAATCTTACAAGTCTCCTTCATCAATTTTCCACCCTTTCGAAAAACAAAAGAAACGTTCAACATGTTATGATAACGATTCAAAACTACCAAACGTAATGCGCCAGTGAAAAACGCATAGCTCAAAAAAAATCCAATGTACAGATATATACCCTTTCTGATTCTATCAGATATTTTTTTGGACACTTGGTGACTATTACCTTAATATTTTTATTGAGATTTGTAAAAGAAAAACTCACTCAATTGGAATTAGTTTCAAAACGATAAGGCGAACATCACAGACCTGTCTCTCATACCCAAACGACATATTCTCGTGCTTCGACTGATCTGTTCTTAGAGCTGTGAAAACCTCCATATCAACAAGGCCAATATTGATGCAATCAAGCAATCGGTCTTCGGATTCAGCAATTGATTCCTGGCTGATGAGTCGCGATATCGACTTTTCCGCTGCACCAAAACGAATTCAATTAGCAAATATATCCAATAACGTATAAACAACTGGTAACTGTCATAAAAACAGGACTAAAAGTTTTGAATGCAAAATGAACATAAGAATTTACAATTGCAAATGAAAAGGGCACTTGGACTCACACCAAAAAATTACGGTAAACATGTCTGAAAACTTTCCCTTTGAATGAAAAGAGATACAGGATCTCTGTAATTCCAGATGTAAGAATCATGAGGTGCTATGGCAATAAGGGCAAATGCCAAGGCAGTGCGTTAAAAGCTGAGCTTCAAAGAGTTTAAACCCTATCTTTCAGGTGGTATGTAAAACCAAATAAAATAAGAGAACAATAGCGAATAACTACCAGCTCATCATTGGTAGCTCAAGGCGTAAATAAAGGTTGTATTTGTTGCCACGTAGCATACTAAGGTCATTTTTCGGACACTGAAAAGCTAGCTTCTCGAGCAGTCTCCTGGTCCTTTCTCTCGATGTGGCCACACCTCGTGATTCCTACGCCTGGAATTGCAGAGACCTAGGGACTCCCCTTACTACTGGGTAAAAGTCTTGTGACGCCAGGGATGATGAGCCCCAGACCCGTGGTTCGGTAGTCAGTGACTCTAACCACTGAGCCATGCCCATACTTAAAAAAAACTTACTTTCAGAAGAAAGTTGATTTGATCTGAATCTTGAAGCAGTCAGCTTTCCGGAAATCGAATCAGGCGAACCAGCATATTGGAATGCATTAGCTACTACGATATGGCCAAGGCAGGCTACAAGTATATCTTGCGAGGAGGAAGATCTTGGGAGGATTAGGATAGGAACGTCTGCATCGACATTAAGTGACACTCTTGCTGCTCTGTTTGTTATGGCAAAGACCTGAAAATACACAATGCAAATCCAAGCTTATCTGTATAGGCAACCCCTGTTATAGTATATTTATGGAACCTGTTAAACTATCTCTGTATAGCAGATTTGCAGAGATAGAAGAGGGATAAGAAGTTAGAAATCAAAGACTCGCTGAGAACCATCTCAACAGGTTCTAGCAAGAAGCAGGCGCTCAGTATAAAGCAAATGATTACTGTGAATAGCAACGATTAAAACAAGGAGACCATTAAACAAAAATTCCATTGCCAAAACAACCCAAAATTGCTTTACCTGCGTCATAGCGCAAAGGAATATTGTAAAATAGAAATATCATATCCAAACCTCGTTTCCCTGACTCGCAGCCCTTATTCGACCAAGAACTTCCTGAAGCTGCAGAAAGTGCTGCGCAAAGGCAATTACTTCAGAAAGAAATCGCTGCGTATGAACATACTGCACTGACGCCATTTTTAATTCCAGCCTCATGTCGAAGTCTCGTTTTAGAAATGGGTCCGGTTCTCCGTATCTTTGGGAAGAACGAAGTTAAAAATCAGTTAGGAGATGATTTGTTCAATAGCAAAGCTAATAGTATTGGCGGTTCAGGAGGATGTTAAAGAGTTCAATCTTCTAAACATGTATTTAGTACTTACAAGAACAATCAGAAACATTGGGCTAGTTCAAGAGTTTAAATAACTTTGAAGTTGTATATTCTACTTCTGTTGCACGCATGCTTGTTCAAACAAACATTACTTGAGTGCAAAACATTTCAAATTTACACTTTTCTAACACAAGTAGACTAGGCCTTACTCGAACGAACACAGTATGTCTACGGGAATTTTTGACGGATCGTTAATAGTCAAAGGTACAAAAAATGACACAGAAAACGTTGAATCGTAAAGAACTGAGAAAGAGAAAAGTAATGCGGTTTACTAGCATACCTGAAAAAAGTGAACGCCAGGGCCTGGTCTCCATATGTTATGAATCTGAAAATCAGGTAAACAAGATTGATATGATTGAAGAAATTAACGCCTTCATTACAAAAAAATATTTACCACAAACAAAGTGCCAGTCAAGAAAATGGTTTTGTTTTAGATATGAGCTATTTTGTAGTGCAAACTAATGTACCTCTTGCGAATGCAAAAGTAAATGTAAAAAGCGAATGCAAAATGCTTCATAGGAATAGTTCGATAAATAACATCTAGGACTCCAACGGGAAAAGATGTATTCTCTTTATGTAATACTTATAGCAATACTATGCATATACCAAATAATCATAGCAGAAGCAACTTGTATACCCTACAGTTGGTATACTGAAAAAACTGCTATATGGCCTTTAATTGCACAACTCTATTATTCTGGGTATGTACTTTTTTATAGGATATCTTTGAATGACGTGCACTTTTCTAGTCTCAGGAGTAGAGAAAGCTATCAAGACTAGGGTTGTTGATAACATCTTCCATTTTATATTTTAGCCTACTACGCCTAAAGAAGATATAACAAATAAAAAAGGACAGTTATATCCAGGCAAAACGTTCTTGAATTTGATAGAGTGGTCAGTGCATTAACAGATAAAAAAACTTTGAGTGTTAGCCGTAGGTTATCGTACCTTTCTTTATATAGGCTGCCGTGAGGGGACATGTCGCACAAGCTGATATAGCCAATGCTCCCAGTCACTTGCTGGTCAGGCCCTCTTTGTTCCACGTCAAAGTTCAGATTAGAAACAACTGAATGTGCCAGGGGATATTTTTCTTTATTTAGTGTTGCTGACAACGACTTCATCGAAACTTTGATGTCAGTTCCAATCACAGATTGACTTGCGAACATGCTATCCTCTTTATCACTCTCTGGAAATGATGCAGATATACTATTAAAACCTTTTTTTGATCAACCAACATTGTAGTAGGATGGTACGACAGTCAAAGGTACCTTGAAGGTCAAATTAAACGCAAGCTGTCCTAGACAAATTTAAACATAACCTTCTACGAAGTCGTTTAGAAATTTCAAGCTGCATTGATATGAAACTATTTTGTAGGCCTTTTAGTTTAACTACATCAAATATCGTTGCTGTAAAAAGTACGGTGAAACCTTTTGCCACTAAATAATTTGTGCAACTCCTTCCAGATATATCAACAGAGTACCAGACATTCGACTCACATTTTGATACGATTGGGCATGAGATACTCTACCTTGTGGCTGATCAATGTTGTCAAATGACTTCACAGGGCTGGTTTGTCCTGACGAGGACGGCTGCGGAGCAGGGGCTCCAATTCCAAAGAACTCAAATACGACCACCCATGTTTGCAGATTCACTGTCAAATCCAAGGAATTGAAAGCTATGTCGATGTATTTGTTTACCTGCAAAAAAATGAATTAGAATGAGCAAATGAAAAATTCAATGGTTGTAAAATTTTAGTGCTTGATTTGTAACAAACAAGTAACAGACCAGTGACTGAAAAAAAATTTTCGAGTTTAAAAAAGAATACAGCCTGGTTCATATTTCTTACCGATAAAATTGTGATTATTTATGAAAGTCCATAGATCTTATAACTTATAAAGCAAAATTTTGACTACTCGTGGATCCATTGAACTATGGACGATGTTTTTCTCTATACTTACAAATAGTTCGCCATCATTAAGATCATGGTTGCCATCATCTATCAACATTATCTTTATCTTCACCCACGATTCTTCTTTTTCCCTTTCAATAACAGACTCCGCCTCGTATTCATCTTCACTCAGACTTTCTTTATTAAACGATAAATGTGGCTGCGAGGGAAACTTCTTATCGCTATGCAACATGGGTCGAAGAGGGGATATACTTGGTTGCCAGGTCTTTTTCGGAGAGAAATTTAGCACTGATGGTAATGAAGTTGACAATACCATTGGATCATAAAATAAAGATCCCTCTGGGCAGGAGCTTGAAAGCCTTGATGTTAGACTAATATTATGTCCATTATTCCGTCTATCAGAATTGGACGATTTCAGAAGGAAGCGATTAGATGGGTCGCCGTCATGTAACAGATCCTCGACGGTAAGCTCTCCCAAATTCACCGAAATCTCACTAACAGGTTTATCGAAATTGTTATATCCAAAGATAAAGTCTTCAAGTCGAATATTAGCAAACTTTCGTTCTTTGTTGTTGATTTCAACACTCAAAGTGACATCAATTCTGACGACTTCAAAAGAAGCGCTGAACCTCGTATGGGATATGTTTACTGCCTCGTTCTCTTGGTTATCTATACTCATTTCGACATCAGATGGAAACATGAATTCGTCAGGAAGAAGGAAGGGCTCGTGGTCATCTCGAGGTTTATTCGGAGAGAGGCTGCGAAACAACAGTCAACGAATTAACGAACTTTAAACATAAACAAAATAAATTGTGTTATGCAAAAAACCTCAGTGTTGTTTCGGGGTGTACATTAGATTAAATAGAACTTCAAATTAGAGATCTTCTTCAACCTTTGGCAAGAAAAAGTACCAAATCTTAAAAATTTTCAACACATGATAAAAAATCATAAGAGAAAAATTGACCGGTTTAAAAAAATTGACTAAGTTACAATCAATGTGACTATTTTTTTGCAAATACCAAACAAATTTTTTTCCAACAACTTTTACGAGGCAGTTATTAAATTAAAAGAATTAGCTTACCCTCTTGGTGACGGTGAAGAAACCTGAGGTGTTCCTGAACGGCTTGCCCTGGATGAAATGCTGTTCAATTCTAAATTACTCTGCTGCTTAGAAGGAGTAGATATTGCATTTAGAGTTTCAAGAAGCTGATTGTATGTTTTGCCAGAAAGTTCTAGTTTCAATACCCTTGAGATGCGACCCTCTACCCGAAAGCTTGGTTCTTTGCGCACTGCGTTCCCAGATGAGCCTCCGATAAATTGTTCAGCTTCCATTAAACGATCAATAACCAGCTGGAATCCTGTATCGTGAAGGATTTGAATCCATTCTAATGCCTCAGTATCACAAGCTGTTTCCATGGTGAAACTTTCTTCTCTCAGTTGGCTTAGCGTAGGTTTCCGACGTGTAGGCCGGTGAAATTGATGGCTAGGGCTTGAAAAAGGACTCACAGTCGAGGCCTGCCTCTGTTTCAAAAGATCAAAGGTGGTCATTTTACCGCTTTCGAGGTCCGTCAGCTGTGAGGCCTGGAGTGTTATGGAAAACAGACTGACGTTATTTATATCTAAAACTATTCTATCGATGGATCCTTCTTTGATTAGCCCCGCTGCGGCGATATCTCCATCTTCTGCTCTTGCAATATGAAAATTACGAATAGCGATCTGTCCAAGGTTACCAACAAGAAGATCAGGGCTATTAAACGACATTGGAATTACAATAACGGGCGTGTCGATACAAATACGCACTGTCAACTTCCCTTTTTTCTTGTTTAACTGCTTTTCTGTGACAGAACCATCATCAAATAATTGTCTTTTTAAACTAGGTGAAACGGACTTTTCCGTATCTCTCTTTGCAGTCACAAACTCCTTCGCGGCATCAGCAGCTGCAGTCTGAATTGATTTGGCAGCGGACGCTGCGTAGTCACGAAAGTCACCTGCACAGAGGGACAGTTCAGCAAGAAATTCTGCAGAATGAACATACCGCGCTGAGGCAATATGGCTGTCAACATCCATTCCTACCGATGAATTGTCAGCTGGCTTTGTGAAAGTAAAAGAAAATGCTTTATAGTCAGAGTCTATGCTTGAAGTTTCAACTCTACTTTCGTCCTGATTGCAATCTCCTACAGACAAGATGCAACGGTGTATAGTGCTTTCAGGGGTCAAGTCGAGAACTTCAAGGCCTCCTAGAGACCCTTTCACAACTTGATCATGGCCTAGGTCACCTGAGAAGTCAAGATCAGCAATTGTTACGGCTGCCACTCTTTGCGCGACCTTGGCTCCACCTTGTCCGCAAACTCCGTGAGCCAACATAATATTTACTCTCTGGACGTTAAAATCGACCTGCAACTTCTTCCCCGCAAAATCCTGAAAAGGTAATGATCTAAACCGTCACAACTGAAATTCACTTGAAAATAGTAAACAATAATATCAATGAGCATAATAATAATAATTATTATGCTACTATTAATATCAGCCGTTACATTAAATATTGAAAAACCCTGTAATTAATCTCCCTGTAACAAAAACTAAAAGTCAACAATACTTATCCGCAATTTATTTCATGAAAAATATGTTAGATTTTATATTTGGATATAATTAGCTATAATTTTACCGTCCAGAAGAATCGGGAGAATATTTTTTTTTTAGAGATCTCAGTTACAACATTTGAAACTACATGTACAATAATATAATGTTAGGAAAAGTGAACTTATTTTGGATTTTATATCAGATTATTTGATACTATGAAAACTAATACTAAGATATCTAAGTAAATCTGGATTCATTCTATCTTTTTTCGGTCAATTCAGTTTTGTTTCATTTGACCATTTCCAAATGCAAATTATTTCAATTTATCTCATAATCTTTTAATCGAGACTTTTGACCGATATGCACGTAGTCTAATGCGTGTCAAAATCTGTTACTCAGGTGTTTCCTCAATATTCGTAGCAGAAACACGTGACACTATTAGTATGATACTGTCTAGCCAATATAATCAAAAGATGACATCACAGACTACCTCGGTTTGATTATCACTTGGTGACGTCATTGAAGTTTTATCGTCAGGTGTCGTTAGCCTTTTGACATTCGTTTCTTTTTCGGAGGTGGAATGCTGCTGTGCAGGGTCGATTTGCAAAGCGTGGTCAATAACGCTCAAAAGTTCCACAATGGTCTCTTGATTGGCTAAAAATCAAGATTTTCGTCTTAAAAACAGCGATCGTTATTTTCAAGGACGGTGATAGATCCCCTTAACATTTTAACAGTGAGTAATCACTAAGTGCTCTCTTTTAAATTTAATTTATTTTCGATTTCTAATGTCTGCAAAAGATTCACATCTTTAGCATCAATATTTAAATCTCTAAAAATTGAAAATCTTATGCAATTGTAAAAGAATTTGTCGAATGGGAAATGCCAAAATCTAATTTGATCTTTACACCAGAAGAGCGTAAATGCAGAATAGAAAAGAGACGTTCAAAACATTTTCATTTACCTAAATTTACCTAAATGTATTTGCATAAAATCTTTATTCGCACACTCACATCAAACAAACTTAAGATATGACCCAGTGGCAGTTTATGTATTAAAAAGGTTAGTAAAAGATTGCTTTTGGCCCTTATAAAAAGAAGAGTTATACCATCAAAATTATGACATCTGCATTCAATACTTATGAAAGAACAACAAACAATTCAAATTTTTCAGCTTCCACAGTGAATCAAATACGTACCAATAATGCTAACCGAACTAAAATTCAGCGAAGCGATTCTCTGAGGCTGTTTTTCGTTGCCTTCAGATGGCATCAGTTCTGAATCTATTTGTTGGTAGTTTATCCGTATAAGAGCATCTGTGCTTTCATCCAAAGCTACAAAATCAATAAATAACAATGAATTAAAAAGAAAAATGCATACATCAATTTAAGAAACTTGGACATTAATGAGCAGGAAATATAACTTAGCGCAGCAGATTTCTGTCGCAGAAGACGAAGATTTTTGTCTTTCTCGGAGGAACTTGCTGTCCGCACACAGCACGACTGCTTTCAGATTTTCCTCCTCTTTGCTATAATTTTCCAGTAAAGGATGTGTTATCTTTTATGGAAAAGAGCTGAAGTGAAATCACGTGAACAAAAAAATACACGTTTGATTGGTTTTTAGAATAAAAAGCCTGCCTTTCGATTCCATCATCATTACATCTACATTAAACAACCCTTTTGGGTCAATTTAACAACCCATGTCGGGATATCAATCCGCAATAACTAGTGGCCTTGAAAAATCTGTAGTTTTCTTGCGTCAAATTTACGCTAACAGAGAAATTCCCTTTTTTCCACACTGCACGATTTTTGTCTTTGGTCGCAATAAAAACAAATATCAAACATTTTTTTACCCAAAAATTATCGCAAAAGACAAAAACCTTTCGATTTTGACCCTGCACTCTGGCACTAGTTTGGAGCTCCACAGAATTCAATCTCATTTGCAGTATATTTTGGTAAAGGCGCTGAACAAATATCGGTATTTTATATTGTCGAGTGTATAGCTAAATCTCATCTAGAGGACAGGAAAGTATAGAGCCCTGCTTTGCAGTTAAGTGTGCCAGTGATATTTTAGGGAAGGGGACAAGGGTAACGTATGACAATCTTTTAAAATAACTTTAGAAAAGGGCATTGTGTATTAGGTTTAAAAATAAATTGGAACGAGAAACCAACAAAACGCTAAAATTTCTTTAAATGCGATTTGATACTATTAGCAATTATATCATTGTTGCACCGATTATACAGCCTCACCATTCTCATCGTCGCCTGAATTCATTTCTTGAGAGGAAACCAACAATCTGTACTCTGGGCCAAACGTCTGTATAGCATCTATGATTAGCAGTGAATGCAAAACGAAGGAGACAGAGAAGTCGTAAGGTCGCTTTACGTACTCTGTCTCAACACCAGCAACCTGGAGCTCAGCAACAGATCGTCCTTCAACGAAACGCATACAATTATAAAGTCTTATAGAAATGTCAAGGACCATTACAAAATGTCGTCAATAAGATATGTTGCTGTTTTAGAAACCGTTTTAGAACATACATCCAAATAGAAAATAAATAATTATAGGAAGATAAAATAAATGTAATTTCAGAAATTATTTCATTCATCAATGTTTTCAGCAGGAATGTATGCTTCTCTACAATGCTAAATACATCTTTTGGAAAGGCTCTTAATTTGAGTAACTGTTTTGAAAGCTCTTGAGGTCAACTCTGATAAGAAATCAACCTGGGAAATCTCCAGGCAGATAGCTCTGCGGGAGTATTCTCAAATAAAAGGAATTTTTGGTACAATAATACCAGTTAATAGAAATTTGCAAGCATTACGCTTTCTTATACTTCGAAGCTAAATATTTTACCTCTGCTATGAAGTCCAAGAGACACCTTATCAATCTTAAAGTTGGCTACAGCCAGGCAAGATTCAACGAGAAGATCATGCGCTCGCTTGTGCAAGACAGAAAGTTCTCTTTGTGGTGTTAGATGAGCGTCGCTCAGCCTAGGAATTCAATGATAACACAACACAGTTAGTAAAATTGCAAACATGAGCCGTCTTTAAAAGCAAAAGACAACTGAGAAAAACAAGGTTCATAGCTCCATTAAAAACTACATGGCTCAAACAGATGAAGACAGGGAAAAGTAAATATCAGCCAAACAAAGAGTATAAAGCGCCAATTTTTCATGTCTCTTTGATATAATTAAGGGTAATAATGTAATGTTTCAATCGCTAATTTACGACAAAATTCTACCGAAATAAAGGTTTAAATATACAGTGCTACCACTGTGCAAACGCCAAAGTTTCTAACATTGTTTGACGAACATATCAAATTCGCATTACCTTGCTTCCTTTTGAGACTGAATATTTACTGTTGGAGAAACTGGTCTAGGACCTGAAAGTGACACAGTTCAAAGAATAGTGGTTAAAAATGTGCAAAAAACTCATTGTGTCATCGTCTCCTTCAAATATCAAAATAAGTAAAGGAGAAGAAGTTATTGAGCTTTAATAAAAAAACTTACTTATGATCAGATAATTCAAACATTTTAATAATTTGAATCAGAGCTGCAAAAAATATTTTCCTTTCTGGGAACGTGGGAAACAGGACAAAAATGTTTCTGTGAGGTGAAATTTCCAATAAGATATCGTAGTTTGGTTGTTTATTACATCTTTTTTTGTCTTTTGCAAAAATCGACTATGCGCAAAAAGTAATAAGTGACTTGTGAACCAAATGGCCATATGTTTATTGACTGGCAGAAAATTTAACAACAAATAGAAACTCTCTACAATTACCTGGTGTTTGGGAAAGGTAATAGATGCCAGCTTTAGGAAAGATTATCTAGTTACTTGTGTATATCAGCCAACTTTCTAGCCTTTCATTTTATGTGATTGTTACTGCAAAAGACAGCTGCTTTTTACCAAGTATTGCTGAAAATTTTCTGCCAAGCCTTTTTGCAGCTCTGATTTGAATTTTCATGTATAAATGATGATTAATAATGACAAGAGATAACGAGCTTTGAATGTTTTCTTTAAGAGTGAGTTTTCATTGCAAAATTTAAAAATTCATACGTAGCTACATACTTGCCACAGCATTGCTTTTAGCAGATGGTCGTTGGACTTCAATATTTAGCGATGACGTGGTTTCGGTTTGTAGCTGATTGAAGCATTTGAAAAGAACAGCAATCTAAAACGATAAGATACTATATGTCAAGATACAGTACTAATGATCTACTGAAAAGTTCCTTAAGATTCTTCCTCGCAAGAATCACTACAGAATGAAAATCAGGAATGAAGTTAAATAAAATAAAGTCTACATTTGTCGTCTGCAGTGCAAACTAGCAAGCAGATGCAAGTTAAAGATTTATCGTTCAATTATCGTAAAGGGAAGAAGCACAAAAAGCTTAATAAATGAGGTGCCTCTCAAAACAAGTACAAAGAAGATTCCCCCTCTGATACTAGGGCTAGTCACTGGCAAGAGGGTACTGTTGTTAGTAACTAATTCATTTAAATCCAAGCTACTTAATTGAAAAAAAAATGATTCTTTGTTACGTAAGTGAAACAAGTTAGAATTGGATATGGCTATATGCAACGAAGCAGGCTTTGTTTGAAATTATTAACTGCCATCAAGTCATGATTGCATTTGATAAGAGGAACTAGATTTATAATGCGTGCAATTTAGTAACTTTCAGTAAAACCTGGGAAAACTATTTCAAAAAAACTGGATCGTTGGTTTAAAAAACATAGCCAGTGCAATCTTATGTCGATCTGACACTTTCCTATCTTATGGAGTACCGAACATGTGGTAGTCTTAGCATCCAATAAGTTTCAAGTCTATTCTCCTTACCTTGTGCTCATCAACGTTTACAATAAGCTGTGGTAGGCTGCCAGACAGGGTGACTGCAGGCCAGTTAGGATCAGATGTGAATGCAAGCCTCCTGGAAGAGTGAGTGCAAAGATTCGGTACTAGCAAGAAAAGCATGATGCGAGAAAAGCAGAATTAGAGGAATCAAGAGCGCGCACGAATTAATAGGTTGCGTAATCGGCACGATGAAGAAGCAAGGAAATGAAGTTTTTGGTAATTTGTTCGTCTTTATTTGCAAATAACTGTAAGCTTTTTTAGTGCCACTGGGAGATACGGAATGAGCAAATGCCATACACTACAAGGATTTCGATATTCCCCACAAAGAAAGATTTCGATGTTCCTCTTATCTCAAAATCCTAACGCGATTCAGGTATTGAATTTTAATGGCTCATGGTACATCTTTTTGAGACACGTAATTAATATCATCATAAGAGTGTTTTTGTGACAATAATGAGTTTTTTTATGACAATAAACTTTCTCCAACTGATCAAGAGATAAAGGAATAGCAATTGTCATTAATATAATTTTCATCAAAATGACATTTTTCTTAGCTTTGAACGATAAAAACAGTTTACAAGGTTTAAATGAAAATTTCTGTTATTTTTTAGCGTGCTGAATGCCGTATAAACAGGGTCGTTCAGGTCTTGATGGATGTAACGGTATTTTTTAAAGCTTTATTTCTTCAATGTATAGATTAATATAATAATGCACAAAATGAGATTAGCAAATACAATGCTTTCTTTTCTTACCTTTCCATATTCAAAGAGATACTGAAGCTATCAACAACGTGAAATTCGCTCTTCTTCTGGCGTAATATTCTGCGCCAATCGTCAACTGACTTGCACACAACAACTTGTAGATGGGTGAACTTCAGCTCGTACCTTAAAAAGGTACAAACAACTCAAGCAAACAAAGTAATTTACGATCAATTGACTCAATGTAACTTGCATATTCAAGCCGTCGAAAAAACAGAAATGAAGTAAAAACAGCTAAGATTTAAACTAAGAAGAACACAAGCCTGCAGGTTGCTAGCTAACAATCAAAATTGCATACAAAGGTCTAGCAGAATACAAAAGTGCATGTAGTCAAAATTTTATCTTAACTTTTTTTTACTTTTGACCACATACGAAATGAAATACCTTTTATACCATACGCCAAAAATAAGTAAAATCTATCGTAAATTAAAACCAAAACAAGTGAAATACAACAAGTGAAACAATTGAGTTTCGCTTATAAATTTATATTGGTTTGACATTATACATTTGCGAGCTATGATCAAATTGCACTGAATTATCTGGGAAAGAGCCTGTGCTCGTATGGACACATATTTTTAAAAATACTTGTTTAGGCTGTGTTTTCTCATTTCCAAAATTAAAAAAAAAATTTCGTCATATCAGTTTGAGCTATAGATTTTGTTTTCATGTACCTTTCATAAAATTTCTCTTTCAGCGCCTCCACATCTTCTGTTTCATGGGAGAATGCCGCTTCAGTAATGATTTTCTCCAAATCTTCTTCGTCCGGTGGAGTTGACAATGGGGTGAGAAACTCGTCTAAAATTTTATCAAAAAAAGGTATTAGCCTAGAAATCTTTACACGGCAACTGATACGATTAACATAATTTGTTTGTGACTCTATAGAGATGCAACTATAGCTTAACTACTTGAAGTTGAAACAGAGATTCTCCACCACAGTAGACACAGAAAGTATTTCATGAAAATGTGTGCTCGTTTCTTGGCAATTTAGCGATGCAGATGGTTTTCATACGTAGATTGAAGCTGGACTGCATGTCAAACATGCTAAAAGCAATTGATATTCAGAACTGACGTACCTTCATCCCCTGAGTCAGCTCCTTCGCCGATTGACTTGCTTCGTTGCCTATGCAGACCTGGTGCATTGATAAAGGAGATTTTTCCCAAGTCGAAAATTACCTTAAAAGAAGACGGCATGATTTCAACATTATTAAAGCTTTCAGACTTTTGCATTTCATTTAAATACGGCTAGATATTTTAAGGATGAGAATTTTCTCCTGAGAAATTAGGAGAGGTAGTTCATATTTTTGGTCTACAAAGTACATTGATTACAAAAAGGAAAAATCTGTAAAACACCATCACAAATACTGTAAAAATTATATAAATGCTTTGAAATTTCGTCAGCTTAATAAATCACGTAGATCTCATCTTGATTAATCTCAAAGCATTCATATAAATATTTATCAAACCCATTTCATGTAATGCATATTCATTTTTACCATTGAAGTGCTGGTTCCATTGAATTTCTCAGGGAGAATAATCGAAGGAGCTGCAATGTCCAACTCAATGTCCCACTTGTCATCTGCTTTCTGAAAAGACAAAATGGATGATAACGATAAAGAGCTGCTGGACACTGTCTTTGTTTAGTTACTCTAAAACCAAAAGCTGTACAAAATTATTAGGAGAAGAGAAAGAAGAATAAAAAACAAATCAATGTTTAAGCATTCAAAGGAAAAAACTTTAATGGAATTATGGAAATCTGAATGCAAGATAATTAGCGAAAAGCTTTAACAAGAGATATGACTTCTTAATTGGAGTAACAATTTTGAAAGAAACAAGAAAAGAAGGAAATTTACTTCGGTAAGAGTGATTGAAGGACAAATAATACATTCATGCTGAATTGGCCTCGAGGTATGAATGCCGATAGACCTTTTTATTAGAAAATAGAGTAAAATAATATCAGACTAGCTATTATACAGCACGCATGTAAGAATAATTGTCACAAAGTTTGTTTCCGAGTATATCAAATAACGATATCGAATACGATATCAAATAAGATCCACGTATGCTATAATTAAAAAGCTGAAGTAGATTGAAGACAGGATTTACTGTCCATTGTATGGAAGTAACTCGTGCAAGGCTAAAACTATGCGAAAAAGAACTCATTACCACATTAACAGTGTCATTGGTCTGTAGTCTAGAAGCATTCGTTACAAGGGGGTGTCTGTTATCTAAGTATCGTAGGACAAATATGAATATTAGAGACAACCAATGTTTGAGAACAATAGAAATAAAAGGAAAGTGTTCATTGGAAAGAAAGGATTTTTATAATTTTTTGAAGGGATACAAGCCCCTCTAAAAACAATAGTAGTTAAGGACCTTGCCGTTGCATGTTACTTGTACATGGCTTAAACTACAAGAAAGAAATTTGGAACAAAATTATTTGTCCATAGATTTTAGGTGTTAGGTGTTTGTTGTTGGTAGGTTTCTGTTAACGGATGCTTCCCCCAACTATGTCAACTCTAAAAGAATTATAAACATAATAATTTCAACTAATCTTTTACCTTCGTTTCTCCGCTCATCAGATCATCCAATGATTGTATCAACTCTGTCTTTGTCGAGTCTTTCAACTCCTGGTATCTCTCCAGGGCCATTTTCTTCACCTTGCTTTCAATATTAGCACTTTTCAGCCTATATCTTGACTGGCTTGTTGGCTTCATAAACTCTGACAGCCTGGTCATTACATCTTTATTATACGTCATCGTTAATGGTTGGAGGTTCACTGAAAGACTAGAAATACATGTTATCATAAGTCAGTGTTACAGTTTAAATGATTGAATTATAACGACGTTATGTCTGAATCAAGTTAACAGCAGTGGGTTGTAAATTTGGCTAAATTCGAGTAGCAAACATCTGCCATGCTGTACAAAGAGAGGTCAACACATCTTTGGATACACCTCTATATATTTCATTCTAAAATGTTATAAAAAATTTCTAAAAGTTTAATTTCCCATATCCCTGCGAAAACCTGCCATTGCTGGTTATCAAGTAGGACCCTTTGGCAAACGGCAGCTAGAATCAAAAGAAATCTACTGAATAAATGAATTCTTGATTTTCTTGTCTTTCTGTTTTGGTATTTCACGAACGTAGTTGCAAAATTCAATGAGTATTTGGTTGGTCTTAAAGATCAATTTATCCTGAAATTAAGGTTTGCTTTGATCTCAATTCAAGAAAATTTTCTGTTAGAAGAGCTTGCACAAGCTAAGCGTTTCTGATGACTGTATACATAGTGTTTTACTTGAAGAACCGTCTCGTGATATAAGCTAATAAGAAGTAAAATATATTTAAAAAAAAAACACTTTGCTGCCACAATGAAAATCCTCTTTGATCCTGCGAATGAACGTTTTTTGTACATGATAAGTTTGAGAAAGTACTTAGGGCCTAACGGTTAGGACATAAACACATTTCTGAAAAGCAAGCTTGGTTGAATTAAATATTATATACGAACGATAAAGGTTTCTTATCCCTGCCAGGTCTCTGTTCAAAAGAAATCTCTAGCAGTGGGGGGTTTTTCTTCAAGCAAAGTTGCAAGCCCATCAATTCCACTATGCATTTGCCTGTTTTGATTGTACAGCCTTTGCCTTTCCCTAAAGACAAAATTTATTTCCACAATAATCCTTCTGTCGGTATTAAACAACATAACAACTAAATGTACACGAGAACACAAAGTTTTTACTCATTTTTAATTTTCAGTATTTTTTAGTTGGACATGTATTTAGTTAGTTTGTAAATTTTTTTCCCATTACCTTTTGTTTATCATAATGTTAACAAGAAAATTTTAAGCATCAAAAGTCCTTAAAATAATATAATGCTTTAAAAACTGTGTTGGAATTACATTATCCGTCAGTATGAGGACTTGGCCAAACCAAATTTTAGTCAGGTAGTGAAAAGATGATAAATTCTGTTCCAAAAAGCAAACAGAATTAGAGGATAATCCATTTTTGTTTTCCAAGAAAAAGAGAACCCAATCTAGCGGTTTTGATTGATTGCAAATTATACAAGAAGACTAATTATAAACTCCACTTTCTCTTGGGGGTTGTATTCAGAACCGGAAACAATGTTTTTGGTTGTACAGGTCTCTTAGAAACAGAGCACCTAATGTTGTCGAAATACTGCCAAGAGTTTGATTTTTTGGCCTTACTTCAAGACACCATGCCACTTCTGAAAATTCCAGCTTTGCAACTGGACACAGCCTGCAAAATGACAAAGCTTATTTTTGAAAGTAATTCAGGAATTCAGGAACAACTGGCCAATATTTGCAATACCGAAAGAATACAACAACTGGCCAAATATGCAAACCCAAGAATTTAAAATGGATTCTTGTGTAAATTGAATCAGATTAATTTAAATGAGTAATCTATACATTTACGGCTTTGATGATAAAATTCATACTCAGAGTTGCAAATTGATTCGCATTTCCAGCCACAATCGCATACACCCATAGATATAAATAACAGATACTTACAATTAATTACCGATTTACAACTTATATCCAGAAGAGCTTATTGTCTAATAGTATTGTGGAATAGCCTTTTCATCAAAGGAATAGTAAATAGATCTTTCAACTGGTGAACCGACATGATTTCATTGTTGGTAAAAGTAATATCATGATTGAGTATTTTCAAAACCTTTCAAAGAGAAAAAGTAGAAGTGCGTGGCTGACAAGATTGGAAATTAAAACAAGTACGGTGAAAAATGATAAGAAATACAACTTCCATTCCGAACTTAGTTGTTTTGACTCGCAGGTTCCACTAGGAAAGTTTTTAAAGTTCAATTGAACAAAACACATGATCTCCTTTTAAACAAAGACTTCGTGTTGCCCTGCCTCTGCAAGCTGCCAGAAACTCTTCCTCTTCTAAAAATACACAAAAACCAGTGTAAGCAAGAGCCAAACTTTTAACATGACAAGTTAAACAATAAAGATTTATAAAGAAAAACTTGTAGGCCTTTTTACCCGTGAATAGAAAGGCTCTTAAAGTTCTATATAATCATTATTTAATACTCTAAAAGAAACAAAGCTGACATGTGTGTTATTTCCTGTGTCACTTTTCGATCAGTAAATATCACTCTTACTATATATTTTTGTCGGGTTACATATCAACCATCCAATAAGCTTGAGGAGTGGTCAGATGGAAAGCTTTTAGGCCAATATGTTATCAAATGTTTTGCTTTTTTCAAAGACATTTGAGTTCTGTACCGCCAAAAAACTGTTCACTTTCTATTATTGACTTTTAGCTTTATTTAATGCCCACACTTTGTCAAAAGGGACCGGGGACATTATTTTCTTTTTCAATTTTGCATGTTTTCTGTCTCCCTACCACTCTTCTTGCAGTGCTAAATAAATTGAAAATAAGTTGGGCGGTGGAGTAAAATAAAGCTAAAAGTCAATTAATAGAAAGTGAACAGTTTTTTGGCGGTACAGAACTTCAAATGTCTTTGAAAAAAGCAAACATTTTGATAACATATTGGCTAAAAGCTTTTTCATCTGACACTCCTCAGAGCTTATTGGATGGTTGATATGTAACCCGACCAAAATATATAGTAAGAGCTGAATTTACTGATCGAAAAGTGAAACAGGAACACCACAATGTCAGTCTTTGTTCTTTTAGAGTATTAATAATGATTATATAGAACTTTAAGAGCTTTTCTAGTTCACGGGTAAAAGGCTACAAGTTTGTTTCTTTATAAATCTTTATTGTTTAACTTGTCATGTTTAAAGTTTGGCTCTTGCTTACACTGGTTTTTGTGTATTTTTAGAGGAGGAAGAGTTTCTGGGCGAGCTTGCAGAGGCAGGGCACAACGAATCTTTGTTTAAAAGAGATCATGTTTTGTTCAATTGAACTTTAAACTTTCTAGTGGAACACTGCGAGTCAAAACAACAAGTTCGGATGGAAGTATGTATTTCTTATTCATTTTTCCACCGTACTTGTTTTAATTTCCAATCTTGTCAGCAGCACTTCTACTTGTCTCTTGAAAGGTTTTGAATACTCAATCATGATATTACTTTACCACAATGAAATCATTTCGGGTTCACCAGTTGAAAGATCTATTTACTATTCCTTTGATGAAAAGCTATTCCACAATACATAGACATAAGCTCTTCTTGGATATAAGTTGTATCGTAATTATGTAAGTATCTGTTTATTTATATCTATGGTGTATGCGATTGTGGCTGGAAATGCAGAATCAATTTGCAACTCTGAGTATGATGTTATCATCAAGCGTAAATGTATAGATATTACTCATTTAAATTAATCTTGGATTCATTTACACGAGAATCCATTTTAATTCTTTGGTATTGCATATTGGCCAGTTGTTGTATTCTTTGGTATTGCATATTGGCCAGTTGTTCCTGAATTCCTGAATTACTTTCAAAATAAGCTTTGTCATTTTGCAGGCTGTGTCCCAGTTGCAGAGCTGGAATTTTCAGAGTGGCATGGGTGTCTGAAGTAAGGCCAAAATCAAACTCTTGGCAGTTTTCGACAACATTAGGTGCTCTGTTTCTAAGAGACCTGTACAACCAAAACACATTGTTCCGGTTCTGATACAACCCAAGAGAAAGTGAGTTAATAATTAGTCTTCTTGTATAATTTTGCAATCAATCAAAACCGATTAGATTGGGTCTCTTTTTCTTGGAAAACAAAATGGATTATCTCTATTCTGTTGCTTTTTGGAACAGGAATTTATCATCTTTCACTACCTGACTAAAATTTGGTTGGCCAAGTGCCTCATACTGACGGATAATGTAATTCAACAACAGTTTTTAAAGCATTATATATTTTAAGGATTTTGATGCTTTAAATTTCTTGTTAACATTATGATAACAAAAGGTAAATGGGAAAAAGAATTTACAACTAACTAAAATACATGATCCAACTAAAATACATGAAATTAAAAATGAGTAAAACTTTGTGTTCTCGTGTACATTTAGTTGTTATGTTGTTTTATACCGACAGAACGGAATTATTGTGGAATAAATTTGTCTTTAGGAAAGGCAAAGGCTGTACAATCAAAACAGGCAAATGATAGTGGAATTGATGGGCTTGCAACTTTGCTTGAAGAAAAACCCCACTGCTAGAGATTTTCTTTTGAACAGAGACCTGCAGGGATAAGAAACCTTTATCGTTCGTATATAATATTTAATTCAACCAAGCTGCTTTCAGAAATGTGTTTATGTCCTACGTTAGGCCCTAAGTACTTCTTCAACTTATCATGTACAAAAAACTTCATTCGCAGGATCAAAGAGGATTTTTCATTGTGTGCAGCAAAGTGTTTTTTTTTTAAATATATTTTACATTTCTTATTAAGCTTATATCACGAGACGGTTCTCAAGTAAAACTATGTATTACAGTCATCAGAAAACGCTAGCTTGTGCAAGCTCTTCTAACCAGAAAATTTTCTTGAATTGAGATCAAAGCAAGATTAATTTCAGGATAAATTGATCTTTAGACAACCAATAACTCATTGAATTTTGCAACTACGTTCGTGAAATACCAAAAGAAGACAGAAAATTCAAGAATTCAATTCAGTAATTTCTTTTGATTCTAGCTGCGTTTGCCAAAGGGGTCCTACTTGATACCAGCAATGGCAGTTTTCGCAGGGATATGGGAAATTAAACTTTTAGAAATTTTTTATAACATTTTAGAATGAAATATATAGAGGTGTATCCAAAGATGTGTTGACCTCTCTTTGTACAGCATGGCAGATGTTTGCTACTCGAATTTAGCCAAATTTACAACCCACTGCTGTTAACTTGATTCAGACATAACGTCGTTATATCAATCATTTAAACTGTAACACTGACTTATGATAACATGTATTTCTAGTCTTTCAGTGAACTCCAACCATTAACGATGACGTATAATAAAGTGTAATGACCAGGCTGTCAGAGTTTATTGAAGCCAACAAGCCGTCAAGATATAGGCTGAAAAGTGCTAATATTGAAAGCAAGGTGAAGAAAATGGCCCTGGAGAGATACCAGGAGTTGAAAGACTCGACAAAGACAGAGTTGATACAATCATTGGATGATCTGATGAGCGGAGAAACGAAGGTAAAAGATTAGTTGAATTATTATGTTTATAATTCTTTTAGAGTTGACATAGTTGGGGGAGCATCCGTTAACAGAACCTACCAACAACACACCTAACACCTAAAATCTATGGACAAATAATTTTGTTTCAAATTTCTTTCTTGTAGTTTAAGCCATGTACAAGTAACATGCAACGGCAAGGTCCTTAACTACTATTGTTTTTAGAGGGCTTGTATCCCTTCAAAAAATTATAAAAATCCTTTCTTTCCAATGAACACTTTCCTTTTATTTCTATTGTTCTCAAACATTGGTTGTCTCTAATATTCATATTTGTCCTACGATACTTAGATAACAGACACCCCCTTGTAACGAATGCTTCTAGACTACAGACCAATGCACTGTTAATGTGGTAATGAGTTCTTTTCGCATAGTTTTAGCCTTGCACGAGTTACTTCCATACAATGGACAGTAAATCCTGTCTTCAATCTACTTCAGCTTTTTAATTATAGCATACGTGGATCTTATTTGATATCGTATTCGATATCGTTATTTGATATACTCGGAAACAAACTTTGTGACAATTATTCTTACATGCGTGCTGTATAATAGCTAGTTCTGATATATTTTACTCTATTTTCTAATAAAAAGGTCTATCGGCATTCATACTCGAGGGCAATTCAGCATGAATGTATTATTTGTCCTTCAATCATCTTACCGAAGTAAATTTCCTTCTTTTCTTGTTTCTTTCAAATTGTTACTCCAATTAAGAAGTCATATCTCTTGTTAAAGCTTTTCGCTAATTATCTTGCATTCAGATTTCCATAATTCCATTAAAGTTTTTTCCTTTGAATGCTTAAACATTGATTTGTTTTTTATTCTTCTTTCTTTCTCCTAATAATTTTGTACAGTTTTGGTTTAGAGTAACTAAACAAAGACAGTGTCCAGCAGCTCTTTATCGTTATCATCCATTTTGTCTTTTCAGAGCAGATGACAAGTGGGACATTGAGTTGGACATTGCACTCCTTCGATTATTCTCCCTGAGAATTCAATGGAACCACCTTCAATGGTAAAAATGAATATGCATTACATGAAATGGGTTTGATAAATATTTATATGAATGCTTTGAGATTAATCAAGATGAATCTACGTGATTTATTAAGCTGACGAAATTTCAAAGCATTTATATAATTTTTACAGTATTGTGATGGTGTTTTACAGATTTTTCCTTTTTGTAATCAATGTACTTTGTAGACCAAAAATATGAACTACCTCTCCTAATTTCCAGGAGAAAATTCTCATCCTTAAAATATCTAGCCGTATTTAAATGAAATGCAAAAGTCTGAAAGCTTTAATAATGTTGAAATCATGCCGTCTTCTTTTAAGGTAATTTTCGACTTGGGAAAAATCTCCTTTATCAATGCACCAGGTCTGCATAGGCAACGAAGCAAGTCAATCGGCGAAGGAGCTGACTCAGGGGATGAAGGTACGTCAGTTCTGAATATCAATTGCTTTTAGCATGTTTGACATGCAGTCCAGCTTCAATCTACGGATTGAAAACCATCTGCATCGCTAAATTGCCAAGAAACGAGCACAATTTTCATGAAATACTTTCTGTGTCTACTGTGGTGGAGAATCTCTGTTTTCAACTTCAAGTAGTTAAGCTATAGTTGCATCTCTATAGAGTCACAAACAAATTATGTTAATCGTTACAGTTGCCTGTAAAGATTTCTAGGCTAATACCTTTTTTTGATAAAATTTTAGACGAGTTTCTCACCCCATTGTCAACTCCACCGGACGAAGAAGATTTGGAGAAAATCATTTACTGAAGCGGCATTCTCCCATGAAACAGAAGATGTGGAGGCGCTGAAAGAGAAATTTTATGAAAGGTACATGAAAACAAAATCTATAGCTCAAATGATTGACGAAATTTTTTTTTTAATTTTGGAAATGAGAAAACACAGCCTAAACAAGTATTTTTAAAATATGTGTCCATACGAGCACAGGCTCTTTTCCCAGATAATTCAGTGCAATTTGATCATAGCTCGCAAATGTATAATGTCAAACCAATTAATTTATAAGCGAAACTCAATTGTTTCACTTGTTGTATTTCACTTGTTTTGGTTTTAATTTACGATAGATTTTACATTTTTTGCGTATGGTATAAAAGGTATTTCATTTCGTATGTGGTCAAAAGTAAAAAAAAGTTAAGATAAATTTTGACTACATGCACTTTTGTATTCTGCTAGACCTTTGTATGCAATTTTGATTGTTAGCTAGCAACCTGCAGGCTTGTGTTCTTCTTAGTTTAAATCTTAGCTGTTTTTACTTCATTTCTGTTTTTCGACGGGTTGAATATGCAGTTACATTGAGTCAATTGATCGTAAATTACTTTGTTTGCTTGAGTTGTTTGTACCTTTTTAAGGTACGAGTGAAGTTCACCATCTACAAGTGTTGTGTGCAAGTCAGTTGACGATTGGCGCAAATATTACGCCAGAAGAAGAGCGAATTTCACGTTGTTGAGCTTCAGTATCTCTTTGAATATGGAAAGGTAAGAAAAGAAAGCATTGTATTTGCTAATCTCATTTTGTGCATTATTATATTAATCTATACATTGAAGAAATAAAGCTTTAAAAAATCCGTTACATCCATCAAGACCTGAACGACCCTGTTTATACGGCATTCAGCACGCTAAAAAATAACAGAAATTTTTCATTTAAACCTTGTAAACTGTTTTTATCGTTCAAAGCTAAGAAAAATGTCATTTTGATGAAATTATATTAATGACATTGCTATTCCTTTATCTCTTGGATCAGTTGGAGAAAGTTTATTGTCATTAAAAAAACTCATTATTGTCACAAAAACACTCTTATGATGATATTAATTACGTGTCTCAAAAAGATGTACCATGAGCCATTAAATTCAATACCTGAATCGCGTTAGGATTTTGAGATAAGAGGAACATCGAAATCTTCTTTGTGGGGAATATCGAATCTTGTAGTGATTGGCATTTCTCTTCCGTATCTCCCAGTGGCACTAAAAAAGCTTACAGTTTATTTGCAAATAAAGAGAACAAATTACCAAAAACTTCATTTCCTTGCTTCTTCATCGTGCCGATTACGCAACCTATTTAATTCGTGCGCGCTCTTGATTTCTCTATTCTGCTTTTTCTCGCATCATGCTTTTCTTGCTAGTACGAATCTTTGCACTCACTCTTCCAGGAGGCTGCATTCACATCTGATCCTAACTGGCCTGCAGTCACCCTGTCTGGCAGCCTACCACAGCTTATTGTAAACGTTGATGAGCACAAGGTAAGGAAATAGAACTTGAAAATTATTTGGATGCTTAGACTACCACATGTTTCGGTACTCCATAAGATAGGAAAGTGTCAGATCGCAATAAGATTGCACTGGCTATGTTTTTTAAACCAACGATCCAGTTTTTTTGAAAATAGTTTTCCCAGGTTTTACTGAAAGTTACTAAATTGCACGCATTTAAAATCTAGTTCCTCTTATCAAATGCAATCATGACTTGATGGCAGTTATAATTTCAAACAAAGGCCTGCTTCGTTGCATATAGCCATATCCATTCTAACTTGTTTCACTTAGTAACAAAGAATCATTTTTTTTTCATTAAGTAGCTTGGATTTTAATATGAATAGTTTACTAACAACAGTACCCTCTGCCAGTGACAGCCCTAGTATCAGAGGGGAATCTTCTTTTGTACTTGTTTTGAGAGGCACCTCTATTATTAAGCTTTTTGTGATCTTCTTC